TCGTTTATTGATCGGACACACTCTGCACGTTTGTAGAAAGTAGATAACGCAGGAGGTTTCTCACGATCTACCTGCTACCTGCTGGCCACTGGAATCGAGCTACCCATGTAATATCAAGGGCTTGATACGACGACTTCTCGGATTAAATCGAGATTTTCTCATGTGGACTCGTAGGAGTCGAGGATATTGTTCTTTTGGCTTCAACACCCGTCCGATACACGAGAAAGGGAAATGAAATATACTTTTTATCGATAAGTAACGAACATGTCGTCGTGAAATTCCCTAGAAATATTTGCGGTGATTTATTTGCTCCGAGAATAAAAATATGACATGTAAAGTTTTTAAGACATATCCCATTCTTCCTTAAAATAAATTCGATAAAAGGACTCGGCTTATCGAAATTCGATCGTCAAAGTTTCGCGATCTATCATTACAACGTCGGAAGATCGGGTTCACATACTATACCAACGCGTTCGCACGTTGATGGGCCATTCTCCGAGATCGACTGGATTCTTAGAAACGAGGAGAAGACGGCCGAGAGAAGCGAGAAACAGATGTTCGATGGATAAGAAGGTGTATCCACACGCGCTTAAGATACGTCAAGATGCATCTCGCGTCGACGCTACCGTGTGCCGTCTTCTATGGCGTCTATCGAAGAGTAATTGATCAGGCACTATATATAAAATCGTGTAGGTAGTAACACGGGAAGCGAGGAAAATCCGATACCAGCTGGCTTCTCTGGTCGCGTTAGGTCAAACGCGTTTCTCCTGTCCACGCGTTACAATGACGCCTCTCTTCTCATTCACACGCACGTACATGCCTACGTATACGTCAGTATACAATAGGCACGCGACCGCGTGCGTTTTATCGCACGCAATTTGTATCTGCGTAACTTACGTACATTCGATTTCTCGTACGAATGCCTATTCTCCTTCTTCCCCTTTTTGTATTTCTTCGCTCGCAATGTTACGTCCTACGTACTTTCTTTGGAATTCGGCGTAACGTCATTTATTTTTCAACGCGAGCAAAAATTACTATCTTTTTATTTCGCTTTCTATCAATTTCTTCATTTTGTAAACAAAGAGATATTTTAGTAATGTTGCTCGTTCGCCCATATCGTCGTAGTACTGTTATACCAACTCTTCCAAGCACACGCGATTTTCTTAATAATACAAATGATTCCTTTAACTTTATGCGTAGGACGTAGGTCGTAGATATTTGTATTTCGTGCGTGCTATAGATGAGGTCCCTGCCGTTTCGTTCCGTTCGGTCCGTATACCTCGTTTCCTTTAGAACGACGTAATTAATACAAACTTTGGTCGTTTGAAAGTTTTTCTCTCTCTCTCTCTCTCTCTCTCTCTCTCTCTCTCTCTTTCTTTCTCTCTCCCACCGGTCCCCTCCCCTCTCCCTCGCTGGTCGGTACTGGTTGGGTTTAATGCGAGGCTGTTCGCTGGCACATTTGTTCTATTAGTATTTACCCGCTCAAAGACTAGAGTTCGCGTACAAAGAGAAGGAATAAAGTGAAAAAAGGTACGAGATATAGAAAGAGGGAGGAGTGAGAGGGGGAAGGGGAAAGGGACAAATGGCACGGCATTATACGCAACATTGCTACGACACAACTACCGGTTGGTAAGTTTGTCCGACGTATGATTTACCGGTGGTGCTTGAATACAGGCACAGAGTACGTTTTAATGGAGACTGAAGTCGTGCTACGGTACGCGTCGTTGATGTATGAAAAAAAAAAAAAAAAAACAAAACTGAAATATTTCCAAGACTCAAGACAAAATGAAAGCTGAAATGTCAAAAAACTATGTAAGATGTTTCATTCAAACGCGATAGCGATGATTTTTTTATTTCTTATCGAGAGTGAAAAGCAGAGGAGGAAATAAAATGTTAGTAACAATGATAGAAGAACGAACGAGCGAGGTAATTCTTCTTCTAACAAGGAAGAAAGTTTCGTCTGTTCCCTCTAGAAAAATAAAATAGATCCTCAAAGGACAATAATTCTCTAATAGTCTTCCAGCCTGGCAAAGTTTGCCAAGATCTTCGAGAGGAATGGACTTTATAGGCTACCGCGTGAAAGATAAAGGGAGAGAAGTTTCACGAGCTTTTACTTAAGGAGTACAGACATTGTTCTCTCTCTCTCTCTCTCTCTCTCTCTCGTCCTTCGCCTAACAAACTTTCTCCAATGCGCGTCACTGGATTTAATAGGCGTGTGTTCTTTCGCGGAAATGTCGTATTTCTGGGCTTTGTGCGAATCTACACGTACGTGGGGCTTCATTTCATCCAACTTTACCGCCAGCGAGACGTTCTCGCGCGGATTTTTCCACCCTATCGTAACGTTCCTTTCTTCGTAAATAGCTTTGATAACAAAATCCAATTAGAGATCTCGACAGGAGATTATTTAAAAAAGCGATAAAATTCTTGCTGCGATGAAACTTTCCAAGATCCAAAGATCTCTTCTTTTTTTTTTCTTTTTTTTTTTTTCTAACGAAATGGAGAATACAAAGAAACGAAAGAGAAAAGAAAAGAAAATAAAAGAAAAATAGAAAAACGTCAATTTAGGCTCGATGCCGAAAAATCTCCTTCCCTTTTTTTCCTCTCTTTTAAAGTAACCTATGGTATGATATCTAATCTGACGACGGTACTCTCATAAATCGTGTACAAATGGGGACTCTAAGTCAAGCGGAAGAAAACGGAATATTCTTGCTGCAGTAGTTTCAATCTTGCACGTCTCCTCGCGCGTCTCAGCCGCCCATTCTCGTGCTAAAAGTATCGCTGACCTAGAAAAAAATTTCGTCTCGCTGCAAACGGTGAATACATATTTCAAGTGAAACGCCGCTAAATTTATTTATTGCCTATCGTTCGTCAAACGTAAATTCGCGGGTAATCGCTTCGCCGGACGAATTATAATAAATCGATTGAAAATAAGGCAAAATACGCGTTCTTTGAGACAAGTTACTCCATGACGATAATATAATATAATATTAACGTTGGGACATTTCCTTCTACTTTATAAAGAAAAAGAAGGACGGAGAGAAACACCGTAACACTTTCCAAATTGTTTGCTTAACCCGCGAGCGTATTTGAATTTTCCATCCAATTATGCTAACGCCTCGGGAAACGAGGAGGATTTTTATTACGGGAACAACGAGTTTTAACGGTCTCTACGCGGTACGCTCGAAAATTCGTTCGAAATAAGTCGCTTGCTTGCATCTTACAAATTCATTCCGTTCGTACATATATGGATGGATGGATGCATAGATACGCTCGTACATACGTACACGTTGGATGTCGTTTTATTATAAAATCGTAGCGACGCTCTCTCTCTCTCTCTCTCTCTCTGGGGAAAGAATTTACGATCGAGCGTGCACGGTAACGGTCACGCGATCTCCCTTTTAACATTATATATTGCCATACCGTAAATCAAGAGGGCCAACTACCTCTTAAAGAGTGTTTCTGCATGCGACATCGATGACGCTTCTATTTCAGCTACGATCTCTATTCGATCTTTCTTTTTTTGTTTTTTCTCGCACGTTCCGACGTGCGCCGCGTTAACGAACGAGATAGCTATTTTTACAATTTTTCTTCCTTTCTACTCTCTCTCTCTCTAGAAATGCTGCTCGAAAACGTCACCCTTCGACGCAACCCCTCCTCTCCTGGATCCCGTCGAAAGGACTGATCGAACAAAGCTCCATTAACGACGCAACCGTCAGATCCGATGGTAATGCATTTGGATGGAGTTAAAGTGAAGTGTTTAGATAATAGTCACTTGGCAACGGCGATCGACCAAAAGATTATGGTCGAACATCGCTTCATCGATCGATGCTCCGATGTCACGAGAGAAATATCGCATAACGAACGTGAATGGATAAACCGGTAGGGGTTCTCGTCAATTCGATCCAATTTTCAAGTATATCATATGCACGCGCGACGAACACAAGTACGTTCTTCTAAAGCTTTATATTTGGCTAAGAAATCCATCTTAACCATATGGACAGATCCGTATAGATACGTACCTATATGCGGATGGATGCTAAAAATATGTCTTGGCTTCGGGAAAGTCAAAAAGTCAATGCTGTAAGTAAGTTAAAAGGGCAGCTTGCATTATTCTAACCAACTACTATTACCTATAATCACCGCGATGCGTGGTCTCTAGACAAATACGTGGCGTGGTCGTAGTAAGTTAAATATAAGATAAATGGAAGGAACTTTTGTCCGAAACATTGGAAGAAAAAAAAGAAAGAGAAAAAGAGAGAAACAAGTATTACCAATAATGCATATATGTGTAAAAATAATTAATCCAGGAGAAAAAAGAGATAGAGGAAGATAGACATCGATTTTGTGAAAGCGCACCACCGTCGCGAAGGAATATATCATCGGCTTGACGATAAGAGAGAATACGGAATCGCCTATTGCCGTGAGGCTTCTTCTTACGATGCATTTAAAACTTCTCCTTGGCTACTCTCCTTTGTCCATTCATAATCTTCGCTTTCATTCGATGCGACTCCTTTCTAGCAGAACCAGCGAAACAAATTGAAGCATTGTGATATCACGAAATTCTTAACCATTGTTACACCCATTGTATCATCTACTTGGTTTCCACAATGGTGTAATATTCGTTGTAGGAGGCTAGCTATCGATGATTCGCGATACACGCTTTTCCCATGACAACCAACCAGTTGCAACATTCCGCTCTTTCTCTCTTTAACATAAACAACTTCTCACAATGAATCGTCGTTGTACGCCTAGGTACATATAGGTATGTATGTACTCTTAACGTCGCTTTAACCTACATTTTATGAAAGCGTTTTTGAACGCTTCTATGTTTTTAATTACGCCGTTCGAGCGTTCTTCCATCTTCTAAGTTGAAATAATTTCGTTGCGCGTTACCAAAAAGGGGAATTTACTCTCGTCCATCTTATCGTTTAACAAGCTACAACGCGTCCTAGGATATGCATTTGTCCTAGGAAATATATTTTTCCTTAACTGAGATCCACGTGGTTCGAAAGAGTGAGCATGATGGTGATCCTTTTGAACTGCATAACGCTAGGAATGTACCAGCCTTGCGTGGATGACCAATGCGTGACGAATAGGTGCAAGATATTGCAGGTAAGTACGCGCGATGACGGATCTACGATCTTAAGTGACGTAAGACACGTTATATGTCGTAATCATTTCGTACACTTTACACATTTATTTCCAAGTACTTTGACGATATCTTAACGATACGTCTAATTGACTAATTTGTTCCATCCTGTAACGAGTAATTCATCGCTCGAAAGGCGATTGAATTCTTTCGAAGGCTTTCGATCGGGATACTAATCGAACGACGAATCGAGTTGAATCTATTGGTTATTCCTGTGTCCATCTCCGACGAGAGAGAGAGAGAGAGAGAGAGAGAGAAAGAAAGCTTCTTGTCCCTCATAAAATTGATACTCGAAATAGAATAAAGGATGGAGAAGATACAAGGAATACAAACACAATCCATTGTCGTACGATGCTCGTCGATAATCGAATCTCTCGTCGAGTGCCCTCGATCAATCACGTTGGATACCCTCGATGGACCTTCCCAATCCAAGCTCTATTTCTTCCTACATCAACCATCAGCCCCTCGTATTCGAGCTTATTCCTTTTCCCAACTTTTTCCTTTTTCTTCTTACAGATGTTCGACGATATAATCTTCGCCTTTTTCTCCTTGGAAATGACGATAAAGATGGTGGCGATGGGTATATACGGTAAAGGGACTTATCTCGCTGACTCCTGGAATAGATTAGATTTCTTTATAGTAGCAGCCGGGTAAGTAATGCTTTGTTATTTCTTATTTTCGGAGTTTTCTCCCTTTCTCTCTCTCTCTCTCTCTCTCTCTCTCTCTCTCTCTCTCTCTCTTCAAGGAGAGTACTTTTGAAAAGGCACGATTTCGCGGCTCCTACCATCTTACATGTTTTTTTTTCTTTTTCTCAATAATTTTGCACGGCCTTGTATCTTGCAATTTCACTTTTCCTTTTTCCTTAGTCTCGTCACGATTCGTCCAATGATCGGGAATGAATGAAAATGAATATGGAATATGATAATGCTGGCTTTATATTGCTGGTGAACGCGGTTATACTTCGCATGTTCGAAAATATTGATTAATCTTGATTTTGGTGTACGGCCGGAAAGGAGACTGGACGGATAGAAAATTTTAATTGAAATGTCGGCTATGAGAAATTGTAAAGAAGGACTTGGAAAGATATTTCTTTTTATTTTCTTTCTTCTTTCCTCTTTTCTTTTTTTTTTTCTCTTTTTTTTTTTGTTGAAACATTCATCTACGTTCCAATTCGCAGGTATCGTGGTAAGAAAATTCAATTTCATTTCGATTTGTGAAATTTTTAATGAAATTCGTCGTATACTCGTGAACCTTTGATCTCGCGCTCGAGTATGTGTAACAACGATGCGTTCTCTTTTTTCCCCCCTGAAAGTCTAAGCCTCGCTTAATTAGAATAGCGAAGAAAAAACTTAATTGGAATAGTGAGAAATTCGATGAATAAAATAAACATTCACGAGCGGTTGTTTCTCCAAATTGTAAAGAATGTGATCGAACGGATAAGGTTGAAATATATCGAATAAAAGAAAATTGATCATTTATAAACGGTTACTGAAAGTCAATTGGTTTCAAGTTTTCGAAAGTCTAATCTAATAACAGTTTGCTTTTAATATCCATTTTTGGAACTCTTGAAGTTCTTGAATTCGTCGAGGGTTTAGAACGTGCCGAGGAATATATATGTAATTCGAGGGAAGGAGAGAAAAATGATTTCTGTCGTTTGCAGCGCACTAGAATACTGCCTAAACGTGGAAAACATGAATCTATCGGCGATACGGACGATAAGGGTTCTAAGGCCATTACGAGCGATCAACAGAATACCGAGTAAGTACGAAAGGCGTTTCATCGCGCGTCACCATCGATAGGCGCGTCTTTCACCTATTCTCTCTTTTTTTGCGAGAGTGTGCGAATAATCTCGATTTACTCTTGTCATCGATCCGTCTAAGCTTATAGTCGCTTTTATAGGCACGCGTGAAAACGGTCGGACGTTTCGTTAACAGTCTCTCTCTCTCTCTCTCTCTCTCTCTCTCTGTGTGTATATGCGCGTGTTGCTGCTACGTCACGTTATGTAAACGTAAACAAACAAGCTTCGTTATTTATACGCGATTTTCGTATCATCTCGCAAGCAAGCATGCGCGCGTGCAATCGATTCCGACTACAACGACAGCGACAGCGACGACAACAACAGCCGCAACGACTATATCAATTTGTTCGAATTACTCGTCCTTGGGATTCTTTGCACGAAAAATTATCTTGCTCGAACGAGCGGTTCTAGTGCCTCGTTGCATATTGTATAAAAAAAGCGTTTGTTCGTTTGAAATGAATGCGTTCTTTAATATTGTACGAACGATTTGAATCTTTCGATTGGTGAGCGCGCGAAGCGTTTATAGAGTGAAATTTATCGAGGCAATTTAACCGCTCAGAATTTTTCTCCTTGTTATCGAAAGGATTTATGACATTATTACGAAAGAATATTCGTTACGAGCAGGTATATACGAGTACGGAGCGCGGAAATAGAATGGATTTCGAATTCGTGGGCATCTGGAAGAGAGAGAGAGAGAGAGAGAGAGAGAGAGAGAGAGAGAGAAATACGTCTATCGAATCTCGAGAAATATATATGTGTTATTTTCTCCTTCTTTAAAGTGATAACAAGGCAATATCTAACGTTTCCGATTCGATCGTCCAACAGGTATGCGAATTCTCGTGATGCTGCTGCTCGACACTCTTCCGATGCTAGGCAATGTCCTCCTCTTGTGCTTCTTCGTATTTTTCATATTCGGCATCGTCGGCGTACAGCTCTGGGAGGGAATCCTGCGTCAACGTTGCTTCCTGAAGGCTCTTCCCAACGTCAAGTATCCCGAGTAAGTAAAAGTAAAGTTACCGTCTGGCTGACGAGCGAAAAGACGAAAGCGGAGAGAGGGGAAGAAATAGGAAGGAGAAATGATGAAAAAGAACTCCGCATTTGTCCCTTCGGCCAGACTTTTTTGTCAGTTTACTTTTCTTCCTTCTTCTTCTTCTTCTTCTTCTTCTTCTTCTTCTTCTTCTCTCCTTCCCTACTATTTATTTCGTTCCATATCCATAACTACGGCGTTTTTTCTTTCTCCATTTCCATTCATCATCGTCTTCCTTTCCTAATCTCTATCTACTTTTTCCTATATTCTAGTCTATTTTATTACTTGGACTTTTCCATTCACCCACGATTACGATAGAGTAGCGTCTCAAATTTATTGACATTTTTTACTTCATTCGTTGATTAAGGATTACGATCGAGGAGATAATATAACGATAGAGAAGGCTCGCTTTTCTCATTATATTGTAACAAGTTTTACTCGTATCTTTATAGCTTTATATTATTATTGACGGTCTCTACGTTCAATCGTAATCATTAATCAGGAATTTAATGGAATTCCACGATAGATTGGCGTTCTTCCTCGGCGTCTGGGTGCCTCTACCGGGGCGTCTACAAAGGCCGGCGTCTTATCGACGACGTCTACGTCGGCGAACGTCATTGATTCTCCGCTTCCGGAGAAAAGACGCCGAACGAAATGCGTCGCGATGTCTCGCGATATATCTCTCTAATGAAATGACTTTGGAGATCCGATCGGGCAGCTTCGTTATGCGCGACCACCGAACTAGAGAATAATTATCTCTCGTCTTTGTTCCTTTCCTCTTTCAGCATTTTCGAGTCCGAAAACAATAAGAGGCGACCTGTTTGGCTAGGGCAAACGTTCGATATTCCTTCAATGATATTATCAACGAACGAAAGTTCCTCGACGATAGATAGTACGCGGTCGATTAACGCTATCGGCCGCGTTAATCAAAATTTAACGATTTCATTAAAAATCCAACGGAGTTTCGACGAATATTCTTCCGTTTCATACGCGAGAATCTTAATTTTTTTTTCTTCTCCCGAGTTAATATACGTATTTTTATCGAATCTTTTCGTTTCGCCCCTTCCTATATCGAAATTTAATTTATCTTAATTAACCGTGATGCGATGTCGCTTAACCTGATCAAGACCTATTCACGCTACTCTTCTTCTGGCTCTACTTTTATTACTTCCACAGACGCTACTCTTCAAGACTATTCGTACAAGTAGAGGCGTGCGCGCATATGCTTTTTTCTTTTTCTTTTTTTCTTTTTTTTCCGTGAAAGACAATTTGTCTCGCGTGAAACAAATTCACAGTCCGTACCAAGTTGACAATTATACGTACGGTTTATAATACATCTTTATTACGCACTTACTGTCACTTGTTTCAATCCGTTCGCATGCACTCGAGAGAGTCTACTATTATACCTCTATATCCGCCTACATACATACATACTTCTATTATACACTTATGTCTATATATATATATATATACATATATATATATATATACACGCATATATATACACACACACACACACACACACACACACACACATTTAAGCATGCACGCGTAGAACGTCGCGTACCGAGGCGTAAAACGTTCTGTACGTTATATACATTTCAACGATTCACTTCACTTTATTGGATGAAATATTTTCTTTGCCTCGCATACGACGACTCGTCGTACTCTCCTTTAGCCATATAAAACAACTTGCTTCTTTTACGCTTCGCAATTGATGCTTGCCAGTTTGTAATCATTACTAACATAGGTACAACAGGATGATTTTTGACGAACTAACGAATACGATTTCCAAAGTCGTGCGAGAGAGGAAGGTAACGACCGAAGATATTTTTTAACCCATTCCTCAAATACAGGATGAACCGTATAAAGCGACTTTACATATTGTTGCAATTTCCGAAAAAGGCGATTAAAAAAAGTGAAAATCTTTTAAAATTTATTTTAGATCGAGCAAATTATGCTAGGAGGAGAGAAGAAATTTCAAAGCCCATCGAGAAGAGAGAACCTTGTGAGCGTTCGCGTTTGCGGTTCACCCCCCCCCCCCCCCTCTTTCCCCAGATATACTTGCATATACCTACATATAATACATTAATACTACGTTAAATATTGCGCATTTACAGTAAACTAAAGTGCATGAGGGAAAGGCTCGAGTTAGTCGCAAAGCTGTCGCTTGTCGAGACTTTCGCGGTGTATATCTCTCGCTAAACTACTCTGCGCCCATTTTTTGTTCTCTTCGAGTCTCTATCTCGCAAGTCTCTTTGTACGCGTTTCGTCTCTTCGGTTTTTCTCATGGTAGTGCTGGAAGGCATCTTACGTACGTATGTGTACCGACACGTATGGATAAATACATAAACTCTTCTTCCCTCTCTCCTTGTTCGAGTCGATTTATTTATTACGATAGTGGAATCAAACTTGATACGCAAGAGGAAACTCGTATATATTCAAGCGCGAAAAAGGTAGCGTCGCGCGTTAAATTAACGAACGCAACAATTCCCATCTACGTATTTTCATAGTTTCTATTCTAACGAGCACTAAGCGATGTCTGGAAAGCCGCACTCAATGCGAGCCGCAAGAGGGAAGAAGAAGGAAAAAAAATGCACGCGGAGTTCATTAAATCCAAGGTCGTGCAAAATTCAAGCGAGCGTGTTATGCAAGTGTGTGCTCGCCTTTCGTAGTCTTGCGCGCGCACAAAAACTCATCGATATCGACCAAGTAAAAGAAAACAAATTTGAGCAAGCTCAAAATAATAATAACGTACAATTATATATATTTGTTTACTAGCGAAATGAAAACTGTCTCGAAAATAGTTATCGAGTTAGAGAGAAAAAGATACAGTCCTTTCTCTTCTATTCTCGACACCTTTCAATCCAACCACCCTCTTTACTATTTTTCGTTTCCTTTACTTCTTTCGTAACTAGAAAGTAAAAAAACAAACGTAGAAATATAATAAGTATGTAACCCTTGGGGAGCAGTGACAGGCTGTTGTTTCGCTGTTGCAGGTTACTCTCGGACGAGTACTCGGTTCGATCACGCATTTAGTAAGCTCTAGTAGAGAACAATGTACTGTACACCCACACACACGCACACACACACACACAAACACATATATATATATTAACTTATGTTAATTATATTACATAAATATATCATCGGATATACATACACGTGCATCCATATGTAAATAATTGTACGATAGAAACAACAATATATATATATATATATAGTATATAGACAGATAAAGCGTGTATATATATCTATATATACACATACACACAGACACAGACACACACACACACACACACACACACACACGCGCGCATATATATTATACACACCTCTCTGTTTCTTCGCAAGAGCGTTTTGCGGCTGTGATTGTAGTGTGTTAATCAAGCATGCTGCCTGATGGACAACGGGCAAAGTACCCGATTCCGGTTCATGCGTCGTTCGCTAAAACACATTCGAATTTTCGAATTTTCGAATTTTCGAATTTTCGAATTTTCGAATTTTCGAACGTCGAACGAACAGATATGACATTAAGACATTGATACGTCTATAAATGTACATATATGTATATCGAGGCCGAAGACGATCCTATGCTCGTCTTGAAAATAATGGACCAATATTTTCTCCATTTTTATTCGATCCTACTACCTCTCCATTCGAAAGGAGATATATATAAAGGTCGATTTTACGCACGGCAAAAGTAATTACTAGAGTTCGAATCATTCTATGTAACACAATGTGAATTTCTTTGAATCTCACGAATCGTCCGGATTTTATACAATTGTTTCCAATTTTTATCAAATACTTTTTCCAACATTAACCAACGAAATTAGGCGGCTAACATCGCTATGCCATCAATTGAATGATATTCATTTCGTTATGCGAAATTATTTTAAGATGAAAATAGTATTTTTCCTTTAAGTCGATCCTTGACCTAGCATACTTATCGTCGTCCGACAAATGGTCGAGTCTCCGATAGGACGAGACGCGTATCGCTTCTTTATGGTCTCCGTAAAGATTTTACATAATAACATGGCACGCGGATTACGATCTCTGACGTTTGTAGGAAGAAAAAGAATGAGATTCTGAGTCGGATTCGCTCGTGAATCGATCGTCGCTCTTGTCCATTTGGAAAGAAATAAAAAAAAAACGTCTCTTTCGTGCTTTCAATTCTCTCCTTTCGATCGCCGAGTCGATACGACGAATGCCTCCGACAGGTTTTTCGATGCACGAGTCGATGTGTTCTACTTCTTTTCTCTCCATTTATATATCTATTACTACATCTACATCTACATCTACATCTATATCTACATCTATATCTTTCATGAAATATTTTTCTTGATTTTTGAAAATTTAAAGGAACGTTTGGCGCATACTTTGTCTCTCGTATCATGCCACTTTGTGTTTTCTTCCTATCTGCGACAATAAGAAAGATATTTCAGCTACGAACTTAGTCGTTGGCTAATTCTATATGGGTGTGATACACACACACACACACACACACGCACACTCTCGCACACACACATTCTTGTACGCCGTGTATGTCAACTCTTTTCTTTGTACGTCTCCGATTGATCTATTTATATATACATATATACTTATACGAGTAAATACGTTGTTTGTTTCTCTGTGCATCCCCTTTTCTCAATCTAATCGATGTAACGTCTATCTTCTTTCATCTTTTATGCGTGTTCTCTTCTTCATTGGGATAATCTTTTTCTACCGACTTCGTATCGATCTCGAGTCATTTTTTACTCTCTATCGCAAGATCGTCTAGACTTATTTATGCTCGAGTATTAAAATGTAGAATAACGACGGGTCGTTAACTCCGTTATTCGTCGCGCTGACTATCGAACGATCACCCAGACGATATTCTTGTTAAATTCGAATGCTTTTTTTTTTCTCTCTCTTTCCTCTGCATTAATACGGTTAGCAGTCACGATTCGGGATTCCGTTTGTAATGACGGATTAATTTCAACGTGAAGGACGTCTTTTTTCAATCTCTTATCTCGGATTCGACGGTCGTCAAAGGTCATTAAGGATTTAACGAGATGACAGAACGAGGACGAAAATATGAATTGTATGGGTTGACAAGAACGAGGCTGACGATTATGCCGAACGGATTTCAGATTTTTCTGAAGGAGATTCAAAGGAGAAAAAGTCATTGAAACGATACATTTCCTTTGTCTACATAGTGATAATTATCCAAGATAGTACTATTTTCAATTAGCGTGCGAAAGAGAGAGAGAGAGAGAGAGAGAGAGAGAGAGAGAGAGAGGGAGAGAGAGCATAGTCGAAGCGATTAGTAAACTACTCGGAGTTCCATCGAGTATAGAAAATCGTTTAGAGTCGATGACAAGTTCGACGACGAGGCGGTTTCAGGTTGAAAGTAAACGGGATAGGAAACTCTGGCGGTATTGCTTAAGACGGTATTGCTCGGTAAGCGTGCTCAAAGATATTTAACTATTCGTAATTACTGCTCTCCAGTGATTAGGGGACCTTTCGAAGCAACAGGGTCTATAATGGCGTAGCGATTTAACAGGAAGAACGTCGTCTTGAAAAGTGATCTTTCCGTCGATTGATCGATTAAAGGACGAACGATGTTTATCTCGTGGGCGAGAAAAAAACCCCAAGTTGTTCCTTTCTTTTGACCTTTTCCCCTCTTGGTTAAAAGCACGCGTATACGTACACGTATATCTATACGTGTTATAGTTCCTTCCTGCAAATTATCGCGAGCAGTACCGTCTTATAATAGCTTACTAAAAATAACGAAACACGTATTAACCGGATTTGCGATCACGGAAAGCAGCCGAAACGAAAGAAAGGCCGCCGGGAAAAATAAACGTTTCCATTAGCTCGTCTTTTTCGAGTGAAAGTTTAGTGGATCGAACGGAATCGAATCGTCAATGTCAGTTTCGTTTAAAATACTAAGCCATCTTGGAACTTGAAATGTAAAGATCGACGTTTCCTTGTATTGTTCGATAGTCTAGCGAATAAAATCGGAGCGCGAAATTTGTAAGGCTTCGTGAGCGAGCGCTAATGAAAACTCACAACGATGGTACGCGAAAGCGAGACGTTTCCTATCCGTTCGAATGAGCCAACGTGAATTTATCGATGCTTACCGTTATTTTGAACGGCTATTTTTGAACGTTTATCGACATCGTTCGTTTATCGGCGCCGAGCGTCGCCGCGCGTCCTTCTCTTCTTCTCTTTCTCCCTTTTTCCTCGACATTCCAAGAAATTCGAAGGATAAGCTTTGCCTTTTTCTCCAACAGTTGCGTGATACTGGACGTTTGTGCGTCTGAATTGCGCAACGCGCCAACCAAGATTGTTGCTCGAATACAAGAGCAAACACGCGCTATCAGTAGAGTAGAATGCGATGCTGTGCGGTTAAATCGGAGGACACCCTTTTGCTCTCTTCGAGGGGCTCGAAGGGCTTTCGCCGGATGGCATATACGTAACTTTGAATTCGAATCCCTTCGCACTCCAATTATTCTTAACGAGTCTGCCTTTGAGATCGCTCCAATTCGCGTTTCGTCTTCGTTCTTCTCTCTCCCTCTCTACCCTCTTCTTCTCCCTCTTCCACCTCCTCTTTTCTTTCCCTTTTTAAACAGTTTCATTAGCCACGTCCGCGATCGCAAGGAGAATGGACGCATACGTTTTCTTAATCTTCAAGGACCACGTTATTATTTGTTTACTTAGTACCAAGAAGCAAAGGATGGATAAGAGGGTCGGTTATCAAAACGCGAAGGGGGTTGATAAACGAAACGAGCATCGAAGATGTCAATGAATTTTTCATAACCGAAAGATACGATGCCTGTAAAATGATGAGAAGAAAAAGCAGAAGTAACGCGACGGGTAGATATACCTTATAAAGATGGGAGAGTGTGTGCGTGTATAAAAATATTATCACCAGACCTGCATGTCACAACGATAGAATGAATTTAGACGTTATTAGACAACGATAGCGGCACGATAAGTCTACCATTAGCTCGCATTATTTCGATTGCGACGAGAAACTCCATTTTTCCATTGAATTTAATCGCACTCGACGATCCTACCGCGTGCCAGAAATTACCGTGAGGATTCTCAAGATTTTGATCTAAAGTATTTGCATACTTTAGGACTGTTCGCGTGCAAAGTTCACTTTTCGACTGGCTTCAATCGTTTTTATCGAAATATAATATTCATTACCCAGATAGCAGGTTACGTTATCGTATAAATATTTCATTTCAAATTATTATTTTCTCGAAATATTCTTACGCATAATTGGATTAAATTTATAAAAAATTCGTAATCTATTCGAAGTAATCACGGTTCAACGAAACCGGCTACGCTCGAATCACCCTGGCAAGTATCGTTCGTTTTCTTCATAATTAGTTTAACTTAGTTTGCTAGTGGCTTACTCTTGCGCGCTCTTTCACACGTTGCGCGTACTTTCTCTCATTGGATTTTATTGGCTTTTCCAATTATTTATACGAGCATGTGGAATTGAAATAGATTTTCATGAATTTTATTTCTCTCGCCTTTCCCCTTGGCTTATAGTTTCATTCTACTGATAAATACGATCGAGTATTAGATTAACGAATATTACGAGAAATTAACTAAATTTGCTGAATCGTTTTCTACGCCGTTCATAGCCGTTTCTTTTGAAAAGAGAAATTATAATAGAATTAGCCTTATAATATGTTAAGTCTTTTCAAAATGACGTCAAATTTACAAAGATATAATTTCAAAGTTATAAACTAGGAGAAAGTTTTAATGAACACACACGTTTGAAAACTTCTTGTTCCTGAGACGTAGCCGCTTTTTTTTTCTTCATCTTGATGTATAAACGTAGCTTACAGCGAATATTATCTATTTTGCGCTTCGAGATACTCGAGTATGCCATTTATCTATTTTATCGATGTATTTTGGGAATGTTGAAATATCCTTGGAAAGTATTGAGAATACTCATAGAACGTAATGGTGCTATTTGGGTATTCATTATCGTTTTGTTATGGAAGATAAAGATAAAGGGACGTAAGAAAGTGATAGAAGATGGTGAAGGGTTAAAACGATTATGATTATCGACCTACGCAAAATGACACACGATGTGGTTTCGTCCTAAGAGAGATTATTAATCGATCGTGCCGCACTGATAAAATGTGCTAGTTGGCACACGATGCATAATGCAAGTTCGGAAATGTTAAATTAGATTAAAAGACTGCACGTCCCTCTCTCTCCCTCTCTCTCTCTCTCTCTCTCTCTCTCTCTCTCTCTCTCTCTCTCTTTGCTTTTCGAAAACGCACATTATCTGGTTTATTATTTTGAAATTGATTCCACGAGAAAATATCGTTTACATATAATACGTTTGCGTATAGGTAGGAGAGAAAGAGTGGGATATCTAGGCGCGTACACCGCTAGTTAGAAATTCACGCTTAAAAATGTAAAACGAGCTGCAACAACGGAGCGAGAAGAACGGTTCTTGCATTTTCGCGATAATGCTCGAATTCTATTTTCTTTGTTTTCTTTTCTTCGTTGTTTTATTTTTCTCTTCTCTCGCATCTCTCGTTTCCTTCCGTTCAACGTCGCCACCTGTTCTCGCGTGCACCCTATCTCGTGTCGACACATGCATTTGGCTTAAACTCTTCACTACTGACTCGTCTATATGTCGTTGTACGTGAGGTATGTATTTGCACGTGAGCGCGCGCGCGCGTACATATACGTATACTTTCTGTATGCCATGTATGTATATGTATATATCGCTATATAAAAATATTCTACTTACATAAGTACATGTATATATATATATATATATATATATGTATATGTATATATGTGCGTATATATACACATATGCAACGGCAGACACGCACAAGAGGCCGTTCGATGTGTACGTATATATGTAGGTAAATAAAAAGGATATATGTATATCGGGACACCCTTACACAATTATACGCATAGATGACAGGGTGTAATTGTATACTACGCATAAACGAAGCATGCAACGAAAGTGCATCCGTGCATTAGTCCGTGCATAAAGCATAAGTTGCACACGCAAGCCTTTAGATTCGAAGAGACACCCTGTGTATGTACTTACCTATTGTACGTACGTATTTTGTACGAGCGAGAGAGTGTGGCTGAAAGTCGATCGATTTAATTCCGATCCTCCTTGATTTTCCAGCGACCTGGAGAAGTACTTCGAGTATCAGGGTCAGGACTACATTTGTTCGCGTCCCGACGACAGCGGTATGCACTCTTGCAGCAACTTGCCGCCGCTAAAGTTGGGCAAGTATTTTCCTCGACACATTTTCGAGCCGTTTCCCACTATCTCCATGTGTATAGATATGTATGTGTACGATCGCAACTGTTAGAATCACAACTTTACGTTTTAACGTATTCGATGTATCCTTTTTTGAACGTCATTAAATCGTTTAATCGTTGTTTCGTTTACGGGGGAAAAAATCTTTTATTCCGCGGCCGGTCCCGAGAACGAACGAATCAAATTTTCCTCTCGAAATTGAGACGGCTTTTGTTCATTTTCATTTTTCCTCTACTCTTTTTTCTTCTTTTTTTTTTCTTTTTTTTTCTCTTTTTTTTTTTCTTTTTAATTGATCTCTCTTTTCCGTCGAAATGACCAATCTCGCGATCGTCACTTCGAAAGCAATTTATATTCCTCGTCGTTGGCGTTACAGATCGATGTAGATCGATGCTCGATACGTCGTTTACGCATCGTTAGAATTATCGTATTAATTTTCAGGAAATGTGGTGTGCAATAGTACAGCTTTACCGAACAACAATACGACGTTTATCAGCAACGACACCTGCGTTAACTGGAATCACTATTATACCGAGTGCAAGGGTCAGGGCAATAATCCTTTTCAAGGCACAATTTCGTTCGATAATATCGGCTTGGCCTGGGTAGCCATATTTCTCGTGAGTGGCATCATTCATTTTAATCTAACGAATATCGTACGGGTTTGCTCGTAATATCGATCCGTTCCTAAATCCTCTAGCATTAATTCTTACAAATTCTTACAATCGTTACGATACAACTGGATAGGAAACAAAAAGTATAATATAGAAATACCTCGGAGTGATTATTAATCACGATCGCTCGATAACATTAAATCGCGAGCTATCGAAGGAGCTATCGATAGACAAATCAGATAAGTGATAACGAACAGAGCCTCTCGCAGGTGATCAGTCTGGAAGGATGGACGGATATAATGTACTACGTGCAGGACGCTCATTCTTTTTGGGATTGGATATATTTTGTCCTCTTGATCGTCGTAAGTAATCATATTCATTTTAACGCCAACCTCTTCTTCCTCTATTCTTTTATTTTATCTCTTATTTTCGAGCTCTTTTCTATTTTCGCGCATTGTCTTATATTTATCGTACGTTCGTATAGTACGTCACTTGATTCGTCATTAAAATCACCTTTCTAATTCTCCTAGATCGGCTCCTTTTTTATGATCAATCTTTGCCTGGTCGTGATAGCGACGCAATTTTCCGAGACGAAGAAACGGGAGATGGAAAGAATGAGATTAGAGCGCGCTCGGTTTCATTCGACTTCGACTCTGGCTTCGTCTACGAATACATCCGAACCAACTACCTGTTACGCCGAAATTGTCAAGTAAGCGTTACGTCGTCAACATACGGTAGGTTTCTCCTACCGTACGAACGTTCAAAACATTTGTAAAAGAATGAGCGGCGACTCGTAAAAAAGGGTCACCCGAACGATCTTTTTTTTTTTCCCTTCTTTCTTTACTAACGTACGTCTGTACGATCGAGTGATTTCATTATAAAGCACTTTTATTTTCGCCTCGAATACGAAACGTGCACAAGATAAAAAAAAATTCTTTTTGTTTCGTTTTCAAAACTACTAGCGGTTTAGGTGACCTGCTTTGGATATTTTTTATTATTTAATCGATTATCCCTGAAAGTTGGAAAATGATACGTCATATTCTGCCCGCGACTATTTTACTCCGAGTTCTTCTTATTTCTCGAATTTTCGCTAGAGTCACGTATCATAATGGAAATCTTCATTAATGTTCATCCGCATTGATTACGTCTCGAGCTCGAGGGATTTGAATAAGAAAAATATTTCTCTCGCGATATCAGATACATAGCTCATCTTTGGCGAAGAAGTAAAAGAAGACTAATGAAGAGGTACAGATTGTGGAAGTACAGAAGGCAGCAGAAACGCGAGCAAAATTTGCTTAAGGAACAACAACAAGGTCAGCCGTTCCGGTCGGCTCCCAGCGGAGCAGGTTCGAACAGAACAGCAGCCGGTGGTGAGTGTTTCTTATCGATCGCTCACCCTATTGTCTCTTTCTCTCTCTCTCTCTCTCTCTCTCTCATTGAAGAACATTTGCGTTATATTCATTACGTACGCATGGTATACCTACAATCGCGATATTTTGGACAAATTTGTATTAAAGGAAAAGAAAAAACATCCTTTTTTTTTGTCGAAAAGAAATGGAAAATACGCGATAATCCGATTATATTCGGTTTCGCTTATTTGAATTTATATCGAATCCGAAATCGTACGAAAGTATAAATCGGATAGGCTTGTGTAAATGTTTCGATTAATAAAGCCAACCAGGGATTGATGTACGTTGTTAGAATTATTAAGGGTTAAACAGTAGCTTTAAAGTGCCTAGCTACTTTTCAAGGATGCTTTAATTAGGCCGGCTTACGGTCTTTCATTCGAAGAGCGGAGATTCGCTTAACTAAAGCTTGTCTTTTTCGCTTTTTTTAATTTTTCATAATTTCAAATAATCGTTAAATTCGTCTTCGAGTGATTTTCGATAATTTTCATCGAGGTAAAAACTCTCTCTCTCTCTCGCGCGCGCGACTTTGATCGCGATAGACTAGCATTGAGTCGTTTGTTCTCTCTGGCAATTTTCAGACAGAAAAATTCATCACGGAAGGTGCCCTCGACTATTGGCAGCGTTAGAGTACGCGGAGCAGCAGCAGCAGCAGCAGCAGCAGCAGCAGCAGCAGCAGCAGTCATCCGGGATTTGCGGTAGTGTCGGAGAGTTTGCAACGAATGGGCCGGCCTCCCAGCCTGGTATTACCAGTGGCGTTTCTAGTAACGGCACTGGTAACGGAAACATGGGTATCGCTCCGCGCGCGAGTCCTGAAGTTTCCGAGGCTGAAATGTCGAGCAATTCGTACAATCGGCCGGGATTATATCGCGCCGCCTCCGTCTCCTGTAACGGCAGCGACAATATCATTTCCAACGCGACCGACGTGAGTACCGATCCTTATTCTTACACTTTTTTTACCTCCATCCCCTGTCCCCCATCACCTCGATATATCTTTTATTTTTATCTTTTCATTTAGTCTTATCTCTTTGGTAGATCAACGTAGCTTCGAGCATAAACTTGTTTCTTCGAAAATTTCTTACTAGTCCCTATATTTTATGGAAGCAGTGCTTTGTCGGAATTTCTACTTGGAGATTACTCGTTTATATAGCTTTAATCATTTTCTTACGCGTTTCTATTCGAAATTCAAAGCGAAGAAAAGACGTTACCATGATTCTAGTTTGTAGCTTGAGGTAATTAAAAGATTTTTTAATAAACCCAAGACGTTTCTCGGAACTTTTGGATAGAGAGAGAGAGAGAGAGAGAGAGAGAGAGAGAGAGAGACTTGCCGAGTTTTCTCTCGCATATTTAATGCCGCTCATCGACTTAAAACTTTGAGACAGCGTAAAGGATCAAGGAGAGATTTCTAAGTATCATGTAAATCGAATTAATTGAACTTTGGCGAAAGAATGACTCGAAATGCGAAGTAAGGAGAAGATGTCAAGGATTCATTTGGTCTATTTTGTCACGCGAATTAGACGAATAACGCATTGCTGAGCCCACCGTGTACTCACTACCGACGAAGGAGCAGCGTTATGTTCAGCGACGTGGTCTTGCTACACGGTAGCAATAGCGTTGGGAGCACGATGCAATCTGGTACCACGGTCGCTCCCACTGAGCGTAACGTTTGTTCGAGTGAAAAAATGACGCAAACCGGTGACGGCAATGTTTGGTCTAGCCCGCTGTCCGACCATGCACAGGTATTCTCTCTTGATTTTTTTTCCATAGCAACTACGTAAAAAATATTTTACTCTAGAATAGTACTTTTTCTTTCTTTTTTTTTTTCCTTTTTTTTTTCTCTTCGTCAATTAGAAATATCACTTCCTTCTTTTCTCTTATTTACTTTGATTAACGATCATGTAGTCTTAGATTCATCTCAGCCGTGCGTAGTAGTCAGTGCGAACTTCGTTATTACCCTACCCTTTTCAATTGGCTCAATCTCGTATCAACGTTATGTCCTTTCCATTTGTCCCAGATACAAGTAGAATTGGGTACGAATGAAGCAATGACGTGTCAAGAATTATTGGCACTCAGTGGAGCTCTCAGCGCTGCCTTACCAACCGGTCAATTGGCGCTCGACTCTTTTTTAAATTCCCTTACGAAAGGTAAGAAAAAAGTATTTTCTTTGCCAATGGAGTTTGAGAATTTGGATAATTACGAAAGGAATTATTAATTTAGTTCGGATAAATGAAATTTTCTATCGCGAGGATACTTAAGGAACGTGGGATATCGTTAACGACGATACCGGTCTCAGATTGAGAATGAAAACGAAAGTGAATCTGTCTTGATCGAACAGGTATCACGGAACGGCACATTATTTTGGAGGATCGTGCACAATGGTTGTCTTCCGATTTGGAAAATTGTTCGTGTTGCTGCGACGCGCAAAGCGGGCTCGATCATTGGCCGGAGAACGGCGAAAGATGGCGAAGGTTCTCGAGAACTCGAAGGTTCTTCAGGACTATCGGAAATCGTTGCATCAGCGGATTACGTTGCATAAGACGTTGGATCAAGAAGCTCGTCGAACACAAGTATTTTCAACAGGGTATACTCTTGGCGATTCTCATAAACACACTGAGCATGGGTATCGAGTATCACAATCAGGTGCGTTTAAGCTTCTTCCAATTTATCGTCTAGATTTATTTTATATTCGTTTCTTCGATCTACGAGACAGACACATCGGAAACTTTTTATCATTATCTTCGATTTCTATTTTCCTTTACGGCTTTTCTTCTCTTTTCCTTTACGACTCGCAGAGAGAAACGACCGTGTGTACGTAATTACATAGCAGTAATTATAGCAGAAGCGATTGGATTCACTTTACGGCGGTTGCCGCGCCGTACCGCGCCGCATCGATGATTAATTTGAAAACGTTCTCCCCTTTAATCATCCGGCTCGCGTTCCGTTCCAGGAAAGGACAATTTTTTTTTATTTCGTTATGTCGTTATGTCGTACGACCAAGCAATCCGATCAGCGATCGCCTTTTCCTTGTCGCGCATTACGCGTTTTTGATCGAATTCGTGAACGGTCGAGAGCTTTTCGCTCGAAAATATCCTGAAAGCTAATAAAAAGGTAAAAGACGAGATTATCCCTTTGGAAAATGCGAGTAATAATCGTTTCGGATCGGTAATAGCATCTTCTCCTCGTCTCGGAGCCTTTTATTCCCAATGGCTTTTCAACGAATGCCTGCGCGGCGCGTCCTAGTATTATATTTACCACCTAAGCGGCGAATCTTTTCGCCGATAATCGCTTCGATTTTCAAGTTTTATACTACAATACCTACTTACTTCTACACACACATATATATATATATATACATATCTCGCTCTATTTTCTCATTGGAGCTTTTCGAAAGTTAGTTATCCTCTCCGTCTCTCTTCTTTCATCGATTTGTAGCCGGAGCAATTGACTGTGCTCGTCGAGATAAGCAACATCGTCTTCTCTGCCATCTTCGCCGTCGAGATGCTACTCAAGGTAATAGCCGAGGGCCCGTTCGGCTACATCAGCAACGGCTTCAACGTCTTCGACGGCATCGTCGTGATCCTTAGGTACGTAATCCTTTAATTCTATTCTCCTTTACTCTTCTCCATCGTGTCGACTGAGACGTAATTCCTTCCAAGTCGACGTAAGAGCAATTTCTTTTCTCAGAAAAGAAGCATCACGAATTATCGCGAGACGACAAAGAAAAAACGAATACTTTGATCATTTTTTCGCGTATGATCGTTACGAAAAAGTTTGCTACGAATGTTTCTGAAAGGGAAAAAGAAAAGTGAATATCCCTATCGTTAAATTTTAACATTAAATTTAAATTTTCACTCCTTACTCTTAGCGTTGGCTAAAGTTTCAATTTTATCGTATCTCGGAATGAGAATTTTTTCTTTCGAATTGAATGGAATTTTAGAATGTAATTTTTTAAAGTTTAACAAAGTTCGTAAAGCTTCGGATAGCGCGTAATGAAGAAACCGCCCTCGTTTTATACCCAACGCTCGATCCGTTCCAGCGCCGATGCAGAACAAATCTTTCCTTTATTTTCCGTCTAAGACACATAAATGAACCCGAGGGACATTAGTTTTCTTTATATAAATCTTTGTACCTTACTCGTGAGACAACCATTACGCGCGCGCAGAAGTGTTCCGTGGCCGCAAACACTTTTAGTAGGTCAAATGCTCGCTGACCATTGACCTAGAAGATTCGCCTATACCAACGTTATTTGCACGCGACGCATCGTTTCTCTTTCTCTTATTCGGATGTAATATCTCGTCATCGATTCGGTGGCGAGACCGAACGACTGATTTTTTAAATGAAAAACTTGTAAAGGAGAGAGTATCGTTTTTTTTTTCTTTCACATTTTCAACGGTCCATTTTGGGTAAAACGTCCATTTATGGGTAAAACGTTCTGTGAAAAGTTGTGAAAAAAGTTTCTCTATTGAAACTTTACGAGAAGTGGAACAACCAGTAAGAAGCAGAACTTTTCTCGATGATCTTACTCGACTTTCCGTCCCTCTCCTTCTCTCGCGAGAATGAATAAATATAGCCTCTAAAATTTCTCTTTAATACGCGTCTACGATACGCAGCATAGTGGAGCTGTGTCAATCCTTCGTGGAGGAACGAGGCGGAAGTTCCGGCCTGAGCGTCCTTAGAACCTTCCGTTTGCTGAGGATTCTGAAGTTGGTTCGCTTCCTGCCAAACTTGAGACGTCAGCTTTTCGTCATGCTACGTACCATGGATAACGTTGCCGTATTCTTTTCCCTTTTAGTACTTTTCATCTTTATATTCAGGTAAGTCCGCTCATTTCGATACTTTGCTATACTGATATAGCTATTTTTTTCGTCGTCGTCGTCGTCGTCGTCGTCGTCGTCGTCGTCGTCGTCGTCGTCGTCGTCGTCCTCCTTTCCTTCGACGAAAATAATTTCGATCGACGAGATCTCTCTAATCCTTTACGCCATTCTAGGTTTTTTTCTTTTTTTTTTTTTTTTACGAGGAGATCATTTCTAACGACAAGACTTTGTTAATGACGCATCAAAATTAATCGACTTTCGTTCTTTCGTTTAAGTTTCCCGCCCCCTCCCCTCTACATTCATAAGATCTTTCTCATTCGCAATTTTTTCTTCTCTTTCGCTCGAATAATTCAGCGAGCCTGATTCTGTTCGTTTATATCTCAACGATCCTTCAGATTTTGTATTTCAAAAGAGACGCCTCTTTTCAAATTATTTCATTTTCTTTTTTAGAATAAGTACGTGAGAACATCGCGTATAAAAGAGAAAAAAGGAAACCAAACGACTCGCTTTATTATTTCAATAGGGGAAAAGATAGCGAATACAGAGAGATTGTGTAGCTATTTAAATTTCGAGGATGCCGTAATCCTTGGAAAAACAAAGGAAGAAAAGTAAAGAAAGCTGAAGGAAGGAAAGATCTTTTGCTTGGAGCTAGAGAAGCATAACGAAGGAACACGAGATACTCGCAATAATCGGCTTTAAAGGCTTCGCTCGAGAAGGCGCGCTTCCTAAACTCCTATGCGTCCTCATCTACTAATTTTGTCCTCGAAGAATCGCGATTTCCAAGTCGAAACGATGCCGTAACGTCTTTCGACCTTGCAATCGCAATTTCTCACATACTTATCTCTTATGGATTCTCCTAGATATAATTGGAACGATTCAAAGCTCCCGGATTTCGGATTTCAAACACAGCGACGACTTTTCTCTCTACCCTCTCTCTCTCTCTCTCTCTCTCTCTCTCTCTCTCTCTCTCTCTATCTCTATCTCTCTTTATCTATCTATCTCTATCTCTAAGGCTCTTGCTTACGAAGCCTTTAGAAAGAGAAACAAATCGGTGTCTAACTGTTCGGTAGACTGGCAAACGATAACGAACCGACTCCATTCTCTTCGCATTCGAATCATTCTCGTAAACAATCGAGCCTTTCCATCATTGTCATCTAAATTTCAAAACGGTTCCATTTCGATTACTGCTAGAACTTTTCGCAAAAGCTGTCTGTCTGTCTCTCTCTCTCTTTCTCTTTCTCGTTTATATCTTCGTTCTTCCATCTCTATCTTCATCTCTCTCAGTTCAGGAAAATTATCGTTTACTTTGTCGCAATTTCTTTGTTCTCTTCCCTCTTTATTCTCTCTCTCTCTCTCTCTCTCTCTTTCTATTTCTTTCTTTCTTTATTTCTCTTTCTTTCATCGCGAAAATCATCGCACACATTCGTGACGCGATATAGAAAATATTCGATGGAAAGTGTATCAATTTATTTTTCCTTACGTGTTTGTACACGTTTAGGTGACGGCAGTCAAACGTTAAAAAGGGTGTGACGATACGCGTGCCTATCTATATAACATGTGCACATATCGTATTTTTATATGTATATATATACACACACACACACATATATATATGTATATATATATATACATACACTATAGGTGCATATCGTATATATACGTGGCACGTGCTTATTTAAGTCATCACGTAAATCTCTGCGCGTGTGTGTTGCGTGTATGCATGGTGCTTTGTGCTCTCTCTCTCTCTCTCTCTCTCTCTTTTTCTCTATCTTTGGACGTATCTCTTTCTTCTCTCTCTCTCTCTCTCTCTCTCTCTCTCTCTTTTTTCGTACAATTAGCAACGAGTATGAAAGCTACTTTACTTATCGTATGATGTATCGTATAAAATGGTTATTATGTCTATATATAAATAAACATCTATGTACATAAACATATATGTTTATTATGAAATAAATCTCTTTCATCGATCTTTCCTACTCTATGCTCTTTTCTATTTACTTTGTGCTGCGTATGATTTGACTGACAAGCGCCTATTTAAGAGACATACGCTCGGTGTGCGCTCGTCGATATTATAGAAAAGCTTGCGAATGTACGGCGTATCTTTATTTGTCAATTTGTCTATCATTTTTGTTTATTTCTTTTTTCGTTTAAAACTTAGGTCGAACGAAATCTGTCATGATCGTTTATCGGTGTGTAGGTATTATCTGACTTACAATTAGTATTCGTCTGAGTAGATATCGATAAATTTTGTAGCTTTCGCCGTTAGATCAATGACCTCGTTATCTAATAACGCGTGAGAAACTACTCGTTCGTTGTATTCGTTATTGTAACACGATTATGGGAAACGAAGTAGAAGAAACGAATGTCCGAAACGTCAGCATTATAAACTACTTGGGATTTCACAAATCACGGATAAAGATAGTTGGCGGGCGGTCCAACTCGGCTAATGCGAAAGTTATTCCTTTGAGAATTATCGTCGTCGTCGTCGTCGTCGTCGTCGTCGTCGTCGTCGTCGTCGTCGCCAACGCCGCCGCCGCCGCCGTCGCCGCCGTCACCGTCGCCATCGCCGTCGCCGTTCTATAAAGAGGAAACATTAAACGCTTTTGTGACGTACATATGTATGTACATACGATTTGTAGAATATCACGTTTTGTAGATACTTATGCAGCTACATATATGTATCTACTTTAAGCGTTTTCCAAAGGTTACGTTAAAGTACGACCAAGGCGCTAAACTCTCTTACGGATGTAAGTATCCGATGAAATCGAAGCAAGAACCGTTTTTAAAGCGCTCTTTCGGATTTGCAAAAACGATGAAAAGTCGAAGTAATGTTAGAGAGTTCTTCGTTTACCGACACATACGGAAATTAACCGGCCTCGGTATTTGCCGCTGTGTTTACGATATATGTATATTTAACGTAGAACGAGTATACTTTGGAAGTGGGCATCGAGAGCTCTCGATGCTCGAGTATATACTAATATATATATACATATATATACATATATATATATACGTATGTTAAAATATATATGTGCACGTTACATCGTCGCTATGCTTTGTAAACTCGTTATGTTAGTTTATCGAACTAAGCTTCTTGCTCTTTATTTTCTTTCTCTCTCTCTCTCTCTTTATCATTTTTTCTTTATTAATTTAAAAAATTTTTGTCTTTCCTTAATCCATTTCTCTTTCTCTCCCATCCACCTTCTCCCTCCCCTTTCTCTTTCACTTTCTCTGTCTCTTCATATTTCTATACTATATGGATAAAGAAGTACATTGCACGTTTCGTTGTGTTGTAGTATTCTCGGGATGAACCTGTTTGGTTGCAAATTCTGTGAAACGATGAAAGGCAGCTCTGACGTCGAGTGTGATAGGAAAAACTTTGACTCGTTACTCTGGGCTATTGTGACGGTGTTTCAGGTACCTACAAAAGGATACTTTCCCACGTATCTCTCAAGGGCTTTCTATCTCTCTCTCTCTCTCTCTCTCTCTCTCTCTCTCTTTCTCTCTCTCATATTTTCATTCTATCCGTTTCTCTATTTCTCTTTCCCCTTCTATTTCTATCTTTTTCTCTTCTACTCTCTCTCCCTCTCTCTCTCTCTCTCTCTTTCTCTCTCTCTCTCTCTCTCTGTCACATACAAACATACGCATAGACACATCCGTATGAGTTGTTATTGGTACTATCAACGTTTTACCGTACGCAAGCGTACACACACGTACTTACATGTCAATCACACGTATAGAAATATATGAATGTAAATGACCACTTTGCTTGATCAAAGAAATAAAAAAAAAAGAAAATAAAAAAGAAAAAAGGAAAGAAGAAAGTAAGAAAGCTAAGAGAAATTACGAAAATGTAAAGAAAAGAAAGGACATTGCCGCGAGCCTGATTTATGTTCATCGACCTACTACCATTATTATTATTATTTACTATTACTACTACTACTCTGCTATTACTATTATTACTACTATACTACTACTATTACCACTACTACTACTACTACTACTACTACTACTACTACTACTACTACTACTACTACTACTACTACTACTACTACTACTACTACTACTACTACTACTACTACTACTACTACTACTACTACTACTACTACTACTACTACTACTACTACTACTACTACTACTACTACTACTACTACTTTATGATTTCGCGAGAGGGCCCATAAGGTAATGTATACACATGAGAGATACGCTTTTTTTTTCAATAATGGCATGCCAGCCGTTTGATGTCTACCTTCCAAGCTCGATCGATCGATCGATAAAGTTTACTCGGACACGCGTAAGCGCTTATCACGAATCTTTTGGTCTGCAAGCTGACATGAGCTTGAACGCACCTGCCTTTGCGGTTTCGACGTTTGCCGCTTTGGCATGCTGCCGTAATTGACTCGTATATATGTACGTATATACGTATATATATGTATGCGCATACGTTTTTGTATCCGTATAAACGGGTCTATATGTGTCGTTTAGACGGATTTGTGTTTTCTTTCTAAGCTTTGTTTTACGGTGGACGGACGAAGATGGACTAGTTGGCGGATTTAACTTAGTTTGGTAAATACGTAAAGACGCATTTAACACACGACGATCCAATTTCTCCGTCCACCCATGTCGTACCTCGTCGTTGCTGTGTCGTCAGAGCATTTTTCAGGGATACTTTATAAACAATAATTATTTTGCAAATGATTTTACGTCTCCCTAAGCGTTACGTAAACGGGCGAAACAAATGTTTCGGGCACCGTCTGACACTTTAATGTGCACGGCTACGTCGAGCGTTGACTGTACGAAGAAAGAAGGGGAAAATACAAAGGAACAGAAAAAAGAAACTCCTCCTTCTCAGCCGTATATTTTTCTTATTTGGTGCTTTGCATGCGTTTTTTCATTGTCGTTGTTGTTGTTGTTGTTGTTGTTGTTGTTGTTCTTGTATTATTGGTGTCTATTTTCAAACGTGTTTCTTCTTTCGCTGTTTTACGATCGCTCGCTCTCTCTCGCTTATGTCGCTCGCTCTCTCCCTCTCTCTCTCTCTCTCTCTCTCTCTTTATCTAATTCTGTATCTCTCTCTCTTTCTCTCTGTCTCTCTCTCTCTCTCTCTCTTTATCTAATTATGTATCTCTCTCTCTTTCTCTCTCTCTCTCTCTCTCTCTCTCTCTCTCTCTCTCTCTCTATTTATCTACCTTTTTCTATCTTTTAGTATCTTTTCGACACGTATAGTATATCTATGCTGTACACTCAATTCATACATATAGATTTTCACGAGGGTATCAACATCCGCTACACTCTAACAGGATCACTAAATTATTCACCCGTAAGTCAAACGAGACTCGAGATACATATGTTCACATGCACATGTACGTTGTACAAGCGCGTTTTCTTTTCGATCAAGTCGCCGGTGCAGAAAATTTTCGATCGGGCACGATTAGCACCCTTTCGAGAGAGAATCGATAGGATTAACGACGTCACGATGGACAGAAAAAGGAGTCTTGGCTTCGCGCTACATGGTTTTTTTTACAATGTAATCGCTTTCAATTAGCCGTACTTACACTGATCCCTTTCTTAAATTTTTCCATTTCCTATTACTTTCTCTCTCTCTCTTCTCTCTCTCTCTCTCTCTCTCTCTCTCTCTCTCTCTCTCTCTCTCTTTCTCGATCTGTCTCCTTTCTCTCTCAAACTTCAATTTATCTCAATATTCTCTTTCCTCCCGTTTCTCACTTTTACATTTAATTCGAACGTTCGAGACAATGATCTTTTGATACGCCATATTAACGAGTAAATCGAAGAAATCGGACGCTATCGCGCTCTTCTCTAACGAAACCATCCGACCATCGTAGTAAATACCAACGTGGAAACACTTTAATTTCGCGAATCTCGACGCGTACGTACGAGTTTACGTCTTTAGATAGACTCGTAATCAGGATATCCTTTCATCTCTCCCAATGCTCATGCGAGACACGCCACTAATCAAAGTCCCGGTAAAATTAGTAATTAGCGTTTATCCACTGAGATCTATACAGCTTACAAAGAAAGATCCATTAATTGATCCGAATCCAATGAGTGTTACTTCGTTTATATTTTTACCTAATTATATATTACTACAATATAAATATATAATGACATATACGTTATACTTATATTACGCTTTGTAGCTTGTCGGTTAACGTTCGTCTTGACATTCCGCAACGGAGAGTATCTTTTTATTTTTTCCCCATTTGCATTTGTCGAGTCCCAACGATCCCTAGAAAATCCTATGAAATGTACGTGTTACACAAACAACCAATGTTACGTGTACTTTTAATCGTCATACGAAACAAGCACGAAGTATTATAATCGTTATCCTCGATCTACGTGGAAAATTTTCTATGTTGCCGGTGTTGGATATCGTAAATATACGTACAACTTTGAAATTCGGAATACCCGTTGGACGATCAGAGTCGTATACGAGTAACACCTGCGTAATTGTGTGTTTCTTATGTATTATCCTTATATACCTACATGAAGCAGCTCGACGTTGGCGTATCCTATTACTTTAACATTTTTATTGTTAGCTCAGCGTCTCTCTGTCTGGTGTAAGAAAATTCGAGACGACCTGTCCGATCGATAAGGTACTTGGACTACTGTCAGTAGACACGCTATTCGAATGAACGAATCGATTTTATAGATCTCAGCCAGGTTTTCCTTCGTAAATAATTTATGTTACGTTTTATCGAGAGAGCACGTACATTTCATTTCCTTAATATCGTTAATCATTCATTAAAACGTGCATAACGCAAATTCGGACTAATATGTAAACGTGATCGCTTCAGAATACGATACGCCAATACGAAGTACCCTTATGTACATTGCAATGTTGAATATACCAATATATTGGTCATCGTTGTCATCGTTGATGCTTATATTCGATATATCTATATATCATCGTTAAACGCGACGCCTCCAAACTGCATACCGCAATCAAACACTGATATATCAATTGGCAATTTTCTCATTTGTTGTTCCATTTTACTCAGTTTGCACGCTACCGAGGAACTTAATATATCTATTATATATACTCGTATTAAATATTATACTCGCTTTATTTCCACACAAATCACAATCACGTTCACCTCCCGACACGAAATACATAAGATAATTGTAGTTTTATATATGGATAAACGCATAATATATCATAATTGAAACTAAACGCAGACACGTGCTGAATTTGCAGAATGTGACCGTGTCGAGCTTCGCGCGAAATTCCTTTTCACTGTTCGTCCAACGTATTTTGCTTGATATTGCCGTCGGCGGAGGGTCTTTGCTCCGTATAAAATTGCTAATCGATAAAGTTTGAATTTTTCTCGTCGCTCTTGTGTTTTCTACGAATCTCGATGAATCGATCTCGATGAATGCACGAAGATCATTGTTATCTCGGCTTACCGAGATACCTTTACGAGTATGCTCATACTTTCTAATACTTCGATTTTAATATTCGAAATTTAAGCAGTCTAATTCTGACTCGCGGCAACGAGTCGAAACCATTGGACTCGTTAAAGATTAACAAAGCTTTCTACCGTTAAACGGGACACGGCTAGACGAGATTACGTGCTTAACACGCTTACGAACAGTACAATTACTAGACAATACTGATACGCTTTTATGTTTCGATCTTCGATCCGTAGAGGTATTAGACGAAAGTATGCTATATACCATCGACATACCGTCGAGATTAACTTTTCTTCAAAAAGTACATTACGTAGATACATACTATATATATATATATATATATATATATATATATATACATATATACATACGACGTGGCCCATGTATTGTGAAAGTTTTTTATCGTGGGCCACGCTGAATATGTAAGTATTATTTACGTTTCGTTATTATTACGCTTCGTAGTAAGTCTCTAGTTCCTCGAAGGAGGGAAAGAAGGACCATCGCAAGACAAGAACGGCGAGCAGGAGCAGAGACGCTTCGCGGCACGTCGTCCGAAGAAATTTCAGAGAATCCTTTTTCGTTTCCCTTGACTCCTCTCTCTCTCTCTCTCTCTCTCTCTTGTTGGTTCTTTTTCTGTCTCTTTCACTTTCTCTTTCTCTCTAATCTATCTAATATCTCTCTCTCTCTCTCTCTCTCTCTCTGTCTCTTTATCTACATTCTATCCCGATTACCGTCGATTACTGTCACGGTGGTAACTTTAGGCCGGCGGATTGTCTCGGTTGCAGCATCCTAGGAATGTACCTGTTCGGGGGTAAGTTTTGCATGTGGGCGGACCGGAGTCGGCCCTGCACCTGTGCCGAGGTGGTCTCACGGCACCCGATGTGTCGCTGTGATCGCAAACATTTCAACGACATCGTCTGGGCCCTTGTCACGGTCTTTCAGGTATCACCTTTCAAATCCCCAACAATATTTTTCTCTTTTTCTTCTTCTTCTTCTTCCCCTGTTTTAATTATACAGATATAAATATATTTATATATACATCTAAAACAAACTGTATATATACATATATATATATATATATATATAAATATACACACACGAGATACGCTAAACAAATGTTTACACGCTTTAAAAACGTGTACGAAAAAATGTATTATTATTATCGCCACCGGTTACCTAATACCGATTGCTCGTAGTACGTTCATTGATTGCACACCTTGTTTATTCTCGCTTTACCTCCATTTCTCTTTCTTTTTCTCTTTCCCTGTCTAATTCACTTCTATCTGAGATTTCTTCACATTTCTCTTTCTCTATGCCTTTTTCTCTTGTTTTCCTTTCTACTTCTCTCCCTCTCTCTCTTTTATCATACTACCTTGCCTTTTCTCAATTTCTATCTGTTTTCGCGCTAATCGTCTTCATCGATTAATTTCGTCAAAGACCACGAATTTCTCTCGTATCGCTCGATAAAGTAACGATATGTCAAGAAAATAATAATTGCAAAAAACGTCATTTTTTTAAGCCTCGCTCGAGTCTCTCAGCGTTTCTCAAGGTCCAATTACGTGCTATTAGACTCACGTTAAAACCAAAAAGATAAAAAGAAAGCTTTCCCTGGTGTTTTTGATCCTTTCGTTTGCACTGAAATTGTTCTCTACGTCAATGAACACGACGACTAAACAAAAAAGGAAAAAGAAAGAAAGAAACAATAATACGTTCGTCCGAAAGAGCTTTTGTATCGTTCTGAGCGAATGAACTACTCGCAAAAAGTTTGAGAAGCTGCCTGAAAATTCACGTACATAGAGAGAGAGAGAGAGAGAGAGAGAGAGAGAGAGATGGAGAGTCTGGCGAGCGAACGCACGTGTATTTTCTTTTTTCCATGCACAATGTTCTAGACAAAAAAAAAGAAAAAAAAAAGAAAAGAAAAAAGAGTACATTTTATTTGGTATCATAGAAAGAAACATTCGCGAGTTGGTTATTAAAAGTGCACCCATTCTCATTCTACCTTGCGGGTTAAAACGGAATACAAATTTTTGTTCTTTTCTTTCTTTTTCTCAAAATTTAACGAACGAATCTCAAAGTTGGAAAGAAACTCGGAGAAACTCGTACGCGACGAAACACAGAGAAGAAGGCAAAGGAAAAATTTTTCAAATATTTTTAACGCATTCTTGGAATATTTGGAAGGCAAAAGAAAACAAAAGCGACTTGTTTGTTCTTTTATCGTTCTCGCGTCAAGAAGGAGGAGAATTCCGTAAGAAGGAGAAATCGTAAAAAGTAAGAGGAAGAATCTATGGAGGAATACGTTGAACTTGTTATAAGCGAAGAAACGGCGTATAAGGTAAGTATATGATATACGGAATGCGCAAGAAACGGCGCGATCTAAAAATGGAACAAAGAGAGGTGGCTTTGGTTTGCTCGACGGTGGTGTGGTTACAGCGGAGGAGAAAGAGGAGGAGCAAGCGGAAAAAAGGAGGATAAGCGAAAATCTCATAAAGAATGTTCGTATATATGTATATTGATATAGATATATGCATATACGTATGCAGAGAGAAACAGAGAGAAATTCGTGGTACGCGATACGAAAGTACGTATATACGTATACGGTGAAAACGAGACGATATCGATTGGCAATACGTTTTTGTAACCGAGGCTAGATATGGAAATATGGACGGTGTCGGGACGGTTCGAAAATTTAACAAATTTCTCCATCGTCCTTGGCCCGATTGTCGAAATGACGAATGAAGCTTCTCGGAGCATTTCAATGGTACTTTGGCATCCGGGTACGGTGATCATCTTTTTCTTTAGATATTCCTCCTTTCCGTGCTCGGCGAAAGGTCGGTCGAAAACGATGAAATAGGAACGCAAGGATATTGAGCGTATGGATATTGTTATCGAGGCAAAACATATTAACCGAGAAGAAAATATATTAGCTCGTAAGGCCAAGGAGTTTTCGTCTTGCCAATCGATGGAACAGTCCGATTCGATAGATTGTCGTATTCGATATAATTAACGATTTCTAAATCATCGTCCACTCTTTCCCCTCGGCGAAATAGATATTAACGCAAGAAGATTGGAACGTGGTGCTTTTCAACGGTATGCAAAAGACATCCCACTGGGCTGCCCTCTACTTCGTCGCTCTGATGACATTTGGAAATTACGTTCTCTTCAACCTTCTCGTCGCCATTCTCGTCGAGGGCTTCTCTTCGGAGGTGAGCGAGAATTATCGATCATCGAAAGCGAAAGAAAATGTTAATTCGATGTTTAACCGAAAAAAAGAAAAAGAAAAAAAAAACAAAAAACCGTCAATACGTTATAATTACGAACGTTTGCGATTTCACCCTTAACATTTAATCGCGATTTTGCGTAAACCTTTTACGATCGATTTGACGAGAAAAGAAAAACCACCGTGAACGTAGACACGTAGTAAGCCCTCGTAAGCGAGGATATTCAACCGTAAGAAGTAGGTAAAGCTATCTAAGGATCGGCCAATGTATTCATTCTATGCTACCCACGCTCTTACGTCGTCGTCGTATGGCAAAAGTTTACGCTCTCGTGCTAATGCGACATTACGCCATTGGCATCGAAAAACCTTACGTGCGCCCTCCTACTTAAAGTCTTTCTCTCTATGATGGAGATTAATAGACTGGAACCGCTTCGTTATCGCTCTCGAAATTGCGCTATATAATTTATTTATGTTCACACGCGAGGAAACTCGAACGAGGCTTCCATCATATCTTTCTTCTCTTTTTCTTTACTTACGTTGGGAAATCTAGCCTACGCGTAGTTAAACGGATTCCTTTAAGGTTAAACGATGGCTTCTCTTTATTTCGTTTTCTCTGACGCGTTTGCAGAGAAACGAGAGGAGGGAACGAGAGCAAAGGGAGATGGCCAAGTTGGCAGCAAAGGAGGCAGGAATGGGCAGCGAGGAAGGATCCTCGAGGGTATCGAGGTCTCACTCGATCACTGACAGCGACACGTATACACAGGTACGAGATAAATGGAATGTTCGTCTTGGTTATGCTTGCAAGAACCCGCGAGACCGAACTTTTCCCTCGTCTGACCGTTATCCCTGGTTGTCAAATGTTTGGAAAAATCTTTAAATAAAAAGATTCATCTACAGGGGATGGGGGTGTAAAGGAAACGAACGATCAAATTTTTGACCGTATCCGTGTGTGTGTGTGTCCTTAGGAACGAAAGAACTCGTGGCAAAGCGCGGAGGAGCTTAGAAAATACAAGGACAATAGTTGTCGGGAAAAGCAAAACAGTAGTTGGAGGCATCGCATGGACGAGCCAAAGTGCAACATTCAAAAGGAAAACAAGATGATGAGCGCCGTTGGTCAGCCACCGATAATCACACACACGGCCGCCACGCCTCAAGACTCGCCAAACACGACGCTCGATGTTGGTTACAGAGACCTTAATTATCGTGCGGTTTTTCCAACGGCTGCCCTCTCCTTTGAGTCGATAGACCGGACCGGTGTATGTATTCGATCATATACGATCCTTTCTACAATACGCTCTCTACAATACCTCCTTGCATCCACATGTTCTCCTGTACGTTTACGCGCGACTACGTCGTCCTCGTCGTCCTTCCGTTTGACCCAAGGCCGATCCACGCTAAAGGCATTTTTTTCTTTCCCTCCCCCTCCCTCCACACCACTCCACACCCCTGATCGAACGCGCCTCTAGTGCGTTCTATCTGAAACCGCGAATCCCTTTAAACGCATAATTTATTACTGTTCGAATTTATCAACGAACGATATTTTCAGAGTCAATGTAGCATACCGTCTGGATTGTTAAAGTTGCCGGACAATGGTAGCAAGTTTTCGACCAACAATTTGATAGCCGGACAATTTCCCAGACGAATAAGCCTCGTTACCGCGGTGGTAAATCCTTCCTCGAGAGAATTCTCAAACTCCAGGTAAATAGGATCGGCGACTCGCGTTATCGGTCGCGATTCATCCTTTCTATTATTATCCATTATGTCCCCATTCTCTCAGTCCACCGAGAATACAGAGAGGATACTCGTGGCGTTTGTCTCGGCCATCTTTGCGAAGGAAACGTTGGTCCCAAAGCGACGAGGAGCAAGCCAGTCGAACGATCGTTTTGAACAATGGCAGAAGTGCCTTCGGCGGTTCCAATTACACGTAAGTACGGGAGTAAATTACGGAGCACTGAATTGTATTCTCACGAAAGCTTTTCCCGCTTTCCTCCTCCCCCTCCCCCTCCTCCGATCCAGGCTCGAGTTGATGTCATTGTCCGCCTCATTGTTATCCTTCCTTCCGTCCCCATTCTCTTCTTCTCTTGCCGTCGATTCGTCCCCGAGCGATCCCGAATCTACGTCGATATTTTTTTTTTTCTTTTAGCTTCAACGGTGGTTACCTGCACGGCTCGATAAGAAACGACACGCAATGCGACGCGCCCAATAATCGAACGACCGTCCTAACGAGCAATAATCGCAGCCTCAGCCCTAACAATTCCATCGAAAGCCACGGTTCATCGATGCGCCGTTACACGGCCACGCCTAACCAGGCGAGTATATAAAAAAAAGATGTCCCATGTCGATAATCGGATATCAGACCGCGATCTCTTGGCATAGCTTTTTAGGGGGGAGCAGGATTGATTAACAGGTCGATGCGATGTTTTAAACAGATGCGATGGATCGGCGAACTCTCGCGAAGGAACTCCTTAAGAGGATACGAAAACGTTCAAGGTGCCGGTAGAAAGGGTATGGTGTCGGAGGAGGTGCCATGCTCGACGCCTCGAACGATAAACAATTTATCGATGGAAACAGGAGCACTGCCGAGAATTAAACCTCTTCCAGATCAGGAGGACGATCATTCGCGTACGGACGATCAGACGCCTCCTTCGAACGGCCACGGTAGCGCGAGCAGCGTCGAGAGGATCAAGAAGATATTTATGTTCTTCGAGCCAAAGGGTTGTCTCAAGGAACGCGACGATTACGCGCTGTATATATTTTCGCCTAATAACAGGTAGGAACGATTATTTATCTTTATCTATATCTAATTTATCTATATCGCTCTCAATAATACGCGAACGACTTTGTTAGATTTCGAGCTTTCTGCCGTTGGTTCGTCGATCAAAAGTGGTTCGACAACGCGATTCTCTTCTTTATCGGCTTGAACTGCATCACTCTGGCGATGGAGAGACCGAACATACCGTCGCACAGTCGCGAGAGACTCTTCCTCATGACCGCCAATTACATCTTCACCGCGGTATTCGCCGTCGAGATGTTCATCAAGGTGCGTATGTACGGTACAACGTGCGAGTATTTGAAAAATAATATCCATCCACGTAGGTGTCCCGACTATATCCCTTTTATTTCGTTTTAGGTCGTAGCAACGGGTATGCTTTATGGTTCGGACGCTTACTTCACGTCGGGCTGGAATATCATGGACGGATCCCTAGTCACCATATCTATCGTCGATTTAATGATGTCTTTGATTTCTTCCAGTAGTCCGAGAATATTTGGAATTTTGAGGGTGTGTTTTTGCTTCATTACTTTTTTTTTTTTTTTTTTTTTTTTTTTTTTATAAATTTAATCGTAGGAAAGGAAGACGTTTGAATCATTTTGTGCCATGCCCGATGCAATTAAAAGCTTTCCTTTTCTTCCCAGGTTTTTCGTTTGTTGAGATCGTTGAGGCCATTGCGAGTGATCAATCGTGCTCCGGGATTAAAGTTGGTCGTACAAACGTTGCTGTCATCTTTACGACCGATCGGCAATATCGTTTTGATATGCTGTACCTTCTTCGTAATATTCGGAATTTTGGGCGTACAATTGTTCAAGGGTGCGTTTTATTATTGCGACGGTCCAGATATAAAAAATGTTCGCAATAAAACGGATTGCCTGGCGGATAAGCGAAACGTATGGCTCAACAGGAAATATAATTTCGACGATCTCGGCAAGGCGCTCATGTCTTTGTTCGTTTTGTCATCGCGAGACGGTTGGGTCAACATCATGTATACCGGATTGGACGCGGTTGGCGTGGATCAACAGGTAACCCGCTTCGATCGATATCCTACATCCGTTATTATACATTCTAGTCTCTAACACGTACGACAGATATCGATATCTCAATCTTGTCGTAGCCGATCGAGAATTATTCGGAATGGCGTTTGTTATACTTTATCGCGTTCATCCTTTTGGTCGGATTCTTCGTCCTGAACATGTTCGTCGGTGTCGTCGTTGAGAACTTTCACAGATGTCGAGAGGAACAAGAGAAGGAGGAACGAGCGAGGAGGGCAGAGAAGAGGGCTCAGCAAATGGAGAAGAAACGACGAAGTTTGTCCAATCGAAATCCTACCTAATTATGCTTTTTACATAATTTCGCATTTTTGGCGGATAAAGTAACGCTTTTTTCTGTTTTTTTTTCTTTTTTTTTTTTTCTTTTTTTTTTCCAGAAATGCACGAGCCACCGTACTATACGAATTATTCGAAAACGCGGCTTTTCATTCACAACGTCGTAACATCCAAGTATTTCGATTTGGCGATAGCTGCCGTAATCGGCTTGAACGTCGTCACGATGGCCATGGAATTTTACATGATGCCGAAGGCACTCACCTATGCCCTCAAGATATTCAATTACTTTTTCACCGCCGTTTTCATTCTGGAGTCGCTCATGAAGCTGTTGGCCCTTGGTATACATCTTTATCTGAAGGACAAGTACGAGCATTCATATATCTCTTATCGTTGGAAGATTCGTTGTCTCTCTGTAACTTACGAATCATTGGCGATTCGTAAGATTCTATATCTTTATAAATAAAACTCTTGATCGATTTCGAATCATAACCTTTTCATTAAACTTGCCATCTTTTCTATCTCTCTCTCTCTCTCTCTCTCTATATATATATATATATATATATATATATATATATATATATATATCTATCTTCTCCTTCTTCCATTCGAATCTTTGCTCGATTCATCGATCTCATCAAGATCTTTTATCTCTGTAGATGGAACCAATTGGACGTAGGGATCGTTATATTATCAGTAGTCGGCATCGTTTTGGAGGAAGTCGAGTCGAAGATCATACCCATCAATCCTACCATCATTCGCGTTATGCGAGTTCTGCGTATAGCCAGAGGTAAGTACTCAGGAAGAACTTGAGTATCCACTTGAGGCCGATAAGACCGACAAATTGTTCCTTTATCTGTTTCAGTATTGAAACTTTTAAAAATGGCCAAAGGTATACGCGCCCTCTTAGACACGGTAATGCAGGCGTTACCGCAAGTTGGCAACTTGGGTCTGCTCTTTTTCTTACTGTTCTTTATATTCGCGGCCCTGGGAGTGGAACTATTTGGCCGATTAGGTAGGTCATTTTGTTCCTTTTTTCTTTTTATTAATCGTCCTTTCGTGACTTTTACGTAGAACGTACAATATTACATAAGATAATTTGAATCGTAGAGTGCAGCGACGAAACACCTTGCCAAGGCCTCGGCGAGCACGCTCATTTTAGTAACTTTGGTATGGCCTTCCTTACCCTCTTTCGCGTAGCCACCGGTGACAATTGGAACGGCATCATGAAGGATACGCTTAGGGATGATTGCGACGAGGCAACGGATTGCGTGAAAAATTGTTGCGTCAGCACTATCATCGCCCCTATATTTTTCGTCATTTTTGTACTAATGGCACAATTCGTTCTCGTCAATGTGGTCGTCGCGGTGTTGATGAAACACCTGGAGGAGAGTCATAAGCAGGCACGCGATCATTTAATCCCTTAAAACTGTAATTTCGATTCGAGACGCACCGTATGACGCTATAACGATTTACGATTTTAGATGGAAGACGAGTTGGACATGGAAACGCAATTGGAAAGAGAGCTGGCCGCCGAACGGGAGGAACTTCTTGAGGTTGAGGAGGAGGAGGAGGAAGAGGAGGAGGAGGAGGCGGCGGCGGCGGCCGGTTCGTTCGAAAGACGCAACATTGGGGATGATTTGGACGAGGACGATGAAAGAGAATTCGAGTCGATAATGGGAACTAGCGAGAAGATTCTCGTTAGACCGGGTCTCGCAAAGGTTCGTTCCTTGCCGGCCAACTTCATTTACAATCCGCCAAAGGAAAAGAGTTTGGACGGTAAGTTTGAACGAGGAACAAATATATCATCGCGCAGATATACATGGGTAGGTTCATTGGACGATGATAAAGTTAAAAATCGAATAAACGTTTTCGTCAGATACTTCCGTTTCGGTGGCGATCAACGTTAAAGAAAGAAGGCGTAGTTCGTGCTTCCGCTCGTATCCAAGACCGTCCAAGTTCAAATCGAAGCGCCGACAGACCTTCCACTCGAGCAACCAACGAAGGTCTTTGCTGCCGATGCACTTCGAAGTTACCGAAGTCTTTGAGAAGCCCGTTTGCAATTTGAGCGTCCCGCGAATTATTCCTCATCGTATCTACGCGATGGAAAGTCAAGAAGCCATACCTCCGGAGAGCCAGTATCTTCGAGTAAGTAATAAGATAATGGAGAATAGGTCGTAAGGTAGATACGTAACGCGACATATGATTCACGAAGGTGACGAGCAACAACAAAGAGAACAAGTTGCTCCTTTGCGCGAGCAGACCAACGGCTAGTTCTTCGCCTGTCACGCCTAGCGGCTCTACCTCGACGCTTACCACCGGCGGTCTGAGATATCAGAACGAGCGTTACTTGTTGCCGACCGCCGAGATCTATCCGTCTAAGGCCTGTTTCGCCCGAAGAATCTCGACGGACGTTCAGTCGCAATTGGAGACGAGTACGAGCATGGCCACGGGAAGCAGCACGAGGACGCCGAGTATTGCGAGCGAGTACGCACCGAGTATTCGCGCCAAGAGCGAAGGTAAGCCCGATTCTTTCGTTTAATATCCCATCTCTCTTTTAATATCCCGATTTCGCATATTTAGGAGCTACGGAAAATGCGAGATTGTCGAAGGAGAAGGAAAAACAAAGGTCGACTCAAGCGGAGGAGGAGGATCTCGACGTGCAATCGGTGATCAACGAAAGAAGGCCGTCCAGGCTAAGGAGTGCCACCTCTTCCGGTACGTCGACGACCGGGACGAGCGATCAGTGCGCTCAAATCGTGCGCGTCGAGAGTTTCGCCCACATTTACGCGGCGGAGGAGCTACCGGACGAGCCGCCGGACGAAAGTTCGGCCTTTGAAAATGTCAGCGAGACCGACACGAGCGGGAGTATCAACGGGAGTGGAACTGTGAGTGGTAGCGACGGTAGTCGTAGCATTAGCGGCCTTGTTCAGGTCGTCGAGTGTACCACATGTCCTGCGATCAGCACGGATGTTAGAATATATGTCGACGACACGGACTCGATCAGCAGCAGCGGACACTTTGGACGAACTTTTGCCGACGACGACGACGACGACGACGACGACGACGACGAGACGCCTGACATTACTATGTCGATATCAGTGCCGATCGACGTCGTCGATGAAGAAGCGGAGGAAGATATCGTCGAAACAACGGAAGATCCGCCATCCTTGCCCGGCCCTTCCGATCCCTCTTAATGATTAACGTTGCTGCCGTGACATCGTTGCTATTCCACGACAAGAGGAACTATGAAAAATCGACGGCGTCGACGACGGGCTCTAAGAAAGACTGTAGTGCATGACAATATAGTCGTTATATTCTAGTCACTTTGCCGCCGTGAACTTGCCAAAGAGAAAAGGAGGATGCAGACGGGCGGATGGGGGAGAGAAGCGAAAGGAACAAATGCGTCAAAAAACTCTTACGAGTTTTAGAGAATTCGTCGTTCCAATGGTGATAAGTAGAGATAATATAGTAGAAGGAAGATATATGAGAGGGAGAGAGAGAGAGAGAGATAAGGTGTTATATTTTCACGTCGATCTCGAAACTCGATTCGAGCATCGAACTCGACTTACTGTTCGAGGCTAAGAACGACGGGGATTAAAAGTCGCTATTTTCGGGACTGGTCGATCGACTTCTCGACGAATTACTTTTTTTCACTTAGATTCGATTCCTTGCTCGTACTAATCCAAGAAGAGATATTCTTTTATCGAGATCGCGAGTCGATCATTGTTTCTCTTAACGGTCATTGTTTATTATTACTTTTCTACGTAGATAAATCGGTTCCTCCGAAAAAGTTTTGCCTCCTCTCGGCATTTTATCCCAACACGATGATATTCTCCCACTGTTTTTCTCTAAACTTTGAATGAGATACGTAATGACAAATCGAACGAAAAGTCGATCAGTCGGATCAATGGTAACTCTATTTTCGTTTTAACGGTCTCGTTACATTTCGTCAAGCAAAATACAAAACAGGCGACATACACAATACGTATAACGCACTGAAAACTTATGACAATCTCTTATTGCCAGCGGTATCGAAACTCGGTTCCCGCTATGAAGCGTCATGGAAGTCATTCGTAGGAATTGGTAGAGAAGAAGCACGACGTATTATAAAATCGCGTCGAAAAAACAAAAAGCAAAAAAAAAGAAAAAAGAAAAAAAGAAAAAAGAAAATAATAATTTAACAATAATTTAGCGAATTTGTAGCTCTTAGGTAGATTTATCGAGTCTACGTGACAAATTGCAATTTATCGGACCACACTTCCTCGCCTTTCCTTTATTCTCGCGTTGATCGCCACCAGGAGTTATAGAAAGAAAGGATTAGATATCGTTAACGCGCGTTTATGACGATCGCATAAATGTTCTTTGAAACGCGAGTGTATCCTCCTAGGGAAAATTTCTTTCTCCTTGTTAGCTTTCTTCTACTCGATGGAAAATCCAGCGACGTTCGCTCGATAAACCAATCGATCTAGTTCAATGCGTTTAGATAAAAAGTTCATTCGAGTATATGTACATATGTTCATAAGTACCTTAGATACATAGCGTATCTCCTGGGGCGATCACGAGTCAAATCGTTCGATCCTCCTCGTTTCGTTCTCTTCGTTTTTCTTTTTCTATCTTAGGACGTTCTTCTCGTTAACATCTGTGATATACTTTAATCGTAGTGTATTTCCTATAACGACAGCAGCAAACATCGGCAAGCGAGCGGGTAAAACGTTAAAAGATGGCACAGAGGAGGGAAAATTAGGGGAGAGAGAGAGAGAGAGAGAGACGCTACGTAGACAAGAGAGCGAGAGATAATAGCTGAATTTTCCGATAAAATGAAAAAGATTAGAAAACGGAGATGAAAGATCCGATCGAGGAAGAACAAAATGAAAAAAGGAATAGAAATTCAACTGTACATACATACATTTATGAATACTCTATACTCTACATTTGGTGCGATTTATTTTGATACTACCACCGCGTGCGGTATTATTTAAACGATCGTCGGAGTATAAGTCCAAAAAAAAAAACAAAAAAAAAAGACAAAAAAAAAAGGAAAAAAAAACAAAAAGAAGTAAAAACGGGTGGATAAACGAGCAAAGCAAATGTTTAAAGAAAAAAAAAAAAAGAAAAAAAAGAATAATAAATTCCATGCCTTTTCGAACGTCGACGAGCCTTAGTACGGCGGTGGTGTTCGCGCTCTATAAATATAATAAAATCAAAAGCAATCCCGGTATATAAAAACTACTGCTGGCGATCATCGAAAAATCTAACGATCAACGTTCGTATATATTATATACCGATTAATCGATAATACAGTTTCTAAAAAATTTGAAAAATCAATCGATGCCAGCTTTAGATTTGACTGGCCGGGAGAGAGGGCTGAACGATGTAATGTAAGGAGAGAGATATAGAGAGAGCCACTCCTCGTACGACCGGCGAAGACGTTTGTTGCTAAAATACACACACGTACACGCAAACAAACATAAACTGAAACAATAGAGAGAAACAAGAAGAGCAAAGTGAAGATAATGTAGTAAAAGTTGAAAGCGCCGTGCGCCGTAATCGCTATGGAAAAATAGTCCGAGTATCCATGTACGTTTCTTAGACCAAAGTTGCGTAGTGCTCCGTTGGCTATCGAATAATATAGTCCAAGTTTCACCCTGTTCAAAATGTCTGGTGGGTACGCTAACCGACGCGAGCCGCTCTAGTCGTTTTTCAAACGGTACGCTATAGCCACGACGAAGTCAATTAGCGCGTATTTTCTATGTACAAAAGACAAATTATAGATGAGATAGAAAGAGAAGAGAGATCGAGAGATAGGGTTAAAGAGGAGGAAGAAGAAGAAGAAGAAGAAGAAGAAGAAGAAGAAGAAGAAGAAGAAGGGAACGTCGATAGAAATATGATCAAATAACAAATAAGTACACGCACTCGCAGCCGAGATATGCTCTCGGTAGATTTCTAATAGGAAAGGGTGGCAAAAAAGAAAAAAACAAAAGTGAAAGAAAAATTAAAGAAGGAGAAAATGTCTATTATTAATCATGACGGGAGCTTTTTTTCTGAAACGTTTTAACGAGAATTAAATTTAAGACTCTCGCGTGTATCGATGTTCATTAGACGATTTGAACAGAGTATGTATTTAGATACTTATATACTCGTGTATATCGAAATGCAGACGATGGTACGAACGCGCAAAGCGTTCCTTTTTGCTTCTTGTTTTCCCTTTTTCTTCTTCATCGTTGACCGTGGGAAAGAATCGAGTGTCCTTCAACGATTCACGATCACTCCACTTAGATCTATATCTCTAGAATGTCATTAAAAGAATGATTGCGTCATTGCGTCGGATTGATTCATCCGTTTAGAGATGACACGAGACTCCGATCGACGCGAAGAAGAAATCGCGATGGTCGAGGGACGTAGAGAGAATTCTTTGCTTCTCGAGCAATCTTTCATTTTTCCTTTTTCTAAGAGAAATTTTTGACGAGAAGAAAACTAAAACAAAGATTAGTCCGATCGTGTTAGAGTTGCGTCTATTAAAATATTCATCTTCACTCGAGAGAATCCCACATTTCCTTCTCGCAATACTCGACAAAGACAATCGACGTTTCTCGATTTGGAGGCTCGCGTTCGGTGCTCTCCCTCGAGAACGTAAAATAATTAAAAGAAGAAAATAGAAAAAAAAAGGAAAAAAAGAAAAAAAAAGAAAAAAAAGAAAAAAAAAAGAAAAAAAAAAGGAAAAAAAAAGGAAAAAGGTTCGTACCACCGTTGCGTCATCATCGTTTCTCCGGCACCACGACCGAGTCTCGATAGCTCGATAGCGTTATTAGGCGACTGACCTCCGAATTATAGTTATTCTAGTCGCACTGTGGATTAAACGAAAAAAAATCGACATTCAATCGGACGGACGGAAAGGGGGAATCGTAAATGTTTTATCGTTAAAAAAGGAAAATAAATAAAAGAAACCAAAAAAAAAAATGGAAAAAAAAAAGAAAGAAGAAACATAGACAAAGAGAAGAAAGAGAAACGTAACGATGTAAAACTTCTTCGCCACGTGCCTCTCGAGTCTGTTCTTCGCCCGTAGAGAAGGCAGTGCGTAATCGTCGAACTATTAAAGTGTCTAAGCAAGCAAGATTAAGTAAATAAAAAAATAAAAAAATAAAAAAAATAAAAAAATAAAAAAAATGAAGAAGAAGAAGAAAGAAAAGTCACCGGTCGTCGTAGAGCCGGGAGATATGTCGTGCTATTTTAATTACAGTACAGGTTAAAACAAAATGAAAAAAAAAAAAAAAAAAAAAAAAAAAAAAAAAAAATTGCGTGTAGTCCTGTAGGGCTGCCAATAAAGAAGCGTCCTTTCTTGTCTGCCTGATTCAATAATAATATACGTATCTATGTATGTGGATAAGTCCTCTAAATGTACATACATAAATGCGTATATCAAAGTTATAAATGCCTGAATGCCTGTGCACGCGTGTATGCGATATTTGTGAGCGTTCGCCGTGGGAGGAGAAGAAAGATTCGGCGCGCTTCTTTGGCCTTGGCCTGAATTTCAGAAAAGTAAGGAGAAAGAGAGAGAGAGAGAGAGAGAGAAAGAGAGAGTCTTTGAGCACGAGTGAGTACGTATCTGTGTGCGTGAGAGAAATACGTGGTATCAAGAGGGTGCGTTAGTTGCGTAGAAGGAAACTAAATATGTACAAATGTAATAAATTAAACGACGATTACGTTGAATCAATTCATTTCGTATTTTTCCATTTTATATTCTTATCAAAATTAATCTTTTTTTGTATACAAGTATTACGTAGAAACGAAGATTCTCCTTTGTTCGCGCACAGTCGAACAGAATATTTTTTTTTTTTTCATTGCCTAAGAGTACCGTGAACTCGTATCCTATAAATGCAAGTATAATCGCGATGACCATTATTCGAATGTATCTTCACCTCTACGATCTCGTATGCTTTCTTCGCATTATTCTATAGAAAAAGAAAAAAAAAAAGAAAAGAAAAGAAAAAGAAAATGACAATAACGTATCGTCTCCTTATCGTACGATCATATTATAAAACGATCGAAATCTGTTAATTTACTTGGACTTCAAAGTACTGTATGGAAGGACCGGTATTGTCGTAGATAAATTCGCCAAAAAAGAAACTATCCGTATCTTCGACGCATTCCAAGCCCTACAATCGATTGAGATAAATCTATTGTGGAATGAAATATTGTTCGATGCAAAGAACGACGAAAGGGATACGATTTACCCAAACAGAAAACTCCTTGGGAGCAGCCATAGTCTCGCCGGTTGGTGATATAGAAGGGGAAATGTGCTCGAGGCTAACACCGGATATGTACACTGGTCCTAGTAGTTGTATAACGACCGTGCCACTGGAGCCCTTGAAAGCCCAGCATTCTCCAGGAAGGACACCTGTCTAGTGCATACGAAATCAAGAAGCCGTCACGAGGTAAGAGTGTACACTCGACGTGCTACACATACGCGCATACACACGCGGAGTATTCCGTTTATCTTTACTTGGTAATTTGCCGTGATAGAAAGAAAAAAATGCCCCAAGGGGAAAAGTTGTCCATTCGAGAGAGGGAAATATATATACACCAGCTTTTATTAACCCGTGCTGACGAAGGTCGGAAGCTAAGGTAAACAACATATTTTTACATTTCCCTTCTCGAATATGACTTTTTATTAGGCAGAATTTTCTATCGACGTCAGTAAAGCTAATGGAATCGAGATTTCGTTCCGATAAATATAAGAAAAGAAATAATCGCAGCAACCTGTATAACAGCTCGTGGGGTGTTTTGTTGAATACAAATGGGAATACCAAAAAGAGTCAAACTCGGAGACCCCGCGGTATAGTCCTCGGTATTTCTCGTCGAAAGTATACTACCACCTGTTACATAGAAGTGGACTATCGTCAATTTCAAGATTAATTTCGATAGAACCTTCTTCGAAGGTTCGATAGTTTCAAAGAACCTGAAGTTTCCAGCGCATAATCGGTCATTCCTGTTTTATCGGCGTCGTAGATTTGCAACTCGCTTCTCACCATCTTTCTCACGCTCTCCGGCGACAAAACTTTTATCATATTCTCCGTATGTATTCCGATTCCTATAGAACGAGAAACAAGAAGTAACTGATATAAATCGGGGAAAAATTATATCTCTCGTAGTCTCGCGCACCTTTCTTACCCTCGGTCACTTCGTCTCTCAATTTAAGAATGGCCTCCGATATTTTTGGTATCGCGAACCCAACTTCCTTCAGTTTGTTTTGCAAATTGTCGCGAGTCTCTAGGACATTCTTCACTTCCATCTCGTTAAATTTAAGATCGACGATAAGCATTTTAATGTACAAATCGAATTATATAGTATTAGAATTGAAATTATCGAAAGAGTTAGTCGTTTACCGAAAGGGTATTCAGATGTCTTCGTAAGTTTCCCAAGTCAGCCTTGACGACTTTGAAGGACGAATTGGCGGAATACTTATCACAGATGTGAGACACCGACATTGCTGGGTTACGTCGAAACGAAGGATTATTATTACGACGAAAAGTTTCTTCAATGAAAAATTTCCAAAGAGATATTACGTACCTAATTGATGAGATATATATATATATATATACGTACCTAAGAGCGAGGTTATGATACAAAAGGCAAGCGGTTTAATGAATTTGTGATACCAGGAAGGACGTAGACAAGGATTCGCGACATTGGCTTGACAATTTCCTCCGTTGACGCAACAGTAAGCGTTTCGAACGCTCATCTGATAGGCACCATAATAATAATAAATATTACATAATAAATTATACGTGACGGCAGCAAACTTCGTTTGATGTGTTGATAGAAAGATCGAGCGCAGTCATGGTGTTCTACGCGGCGTGGTATGAAATATTCTACGAAATAAGGTAGAATCGCTTGATCGAAAACTTTTATAAATTGCACAAACATAGGTAGACAGAAATAGATACATTTCTTTTTCGACTATACGCAAAACTATATGTATATGATAGTAAGAATAGGACGAGCGAATACACGTATGTCTATATCTATAGCTATATACATTATCGTATAAACCGTAAGGACGCACTTCGACTTTCTTCTCTTGGACGAAGTAACGAGGAGAATTGATCTCAATTCGATTTCTTCAAATGTTTTTGTAGACGGAATGAAAGAACACTCGTGGCAAGGCGGAATTTCGCAGAAGAAAAATATATATCTATGTATAGCCATGCGCGTGGGACGCAATCGGCATCGTTGGAACCGTGCGAATATTTTTGCGCATTCGTTCATCTTTTTATCTATGCACGCACGCACGCACATATTTGTCCTTTGGGATTAAAAAGTAAAATTTGAATTTTAGTAAAATAGAGATCGAATCGAGGCGTGCATTCGCACAGCTCCAATTAGCTCTAACAACAACAAAGATACGTGGGATGATATGCGACATATCCTTTTCGTTATTCGTATCCTCATCCGCGCTATTGGCTTTTCATCTCGTATTATTTGTCGTCAATTTAGATCCCTCAAGGTCGAGTGTATGCGTACGTTTAATCTACTCTCGAAATCGTAATCTCGATATTGAGTTTGGGCCCTTAGTAAGAAACTCTTACCTTCCTCGATATTCTGAAACGTAAGAGATATATCAAATGGCTGATTATTCAGCGATATGTTAGCTTTTAAAAGATATACTCACGTCAATGGCGCAAAGGTTACTACCTAGCTCGTAAAGGGCAAACGCGCTCACGTGTTGATCATAAACGTCCTTGTTCGAATTGCGACGTTTCAAACAGCTTCTGTAACTTCTAATGGACGCTTGTTTGTCGCCAAGATACGAATAGGCCGCGCCTTCGATCAAATCGGCCAATCCCACCATAGGCTCTTCCGAGCGGTTACCCTTGCAATCTAATAAAATCCATCGGAGTGCCTCAATGGAACACGACGGCATGGCGTTCCAAAGGTATAATAGCTCGTAGACGAGTAATTTGTAATACAAAATCGTGTAAGCTCGACCCGTATCCTGATCAACCAATTTCGGAGCTCTTCGTAAGATGAAAAGACCGAGTTGCGTTTCCTTCGTCGTACCAGCGACCAGCTGAACGATCTTTCGATACATCGTCATCAATTCTTCGAACTTGCCGTTCGATCCGCAACAGACTGACGATGAAGAGAAAACGTAAAGGGAAACAAAAACAAACAAAAACAAACAAACAAACAAAAAGAAAAACTAGGCTATCGTTTGAAGCAACAATTACCTGCCGCCAAATACGCGTAGAAACTTTTCGACCACCTCGACTGTTGCTGTAACTGTGTCAAAGATCGATAAGCTTCCTCGTAACTCAAACGAATCAGGTGACACCAGGCAACCTCGTGTAAACACAACAATCTCACTTCTCTTTGACCGGACGCATCCACGGCTTTGTCGTAAGCTTCGAGGGCAGCATTAACGTTCGACTGTAACATACGACGGTCGGTTAATCATCGATCGTGCACCGGCTTTCCTAAGGACCGTTAAAAATTTACCTCGAGGCGTTCCACTCGGCCCGCGAAAAAGAGAAAAAGGGCGGAATTTTGAAATTCCGTACGACATTCCTCGATCAATTGTTTCGCCGCGTTCACACCGGCTTTCACGTTGGAACCATCGAGAGCGAAGAATGGTCGTACTATCGTGTGATACCAAAGAAGCGATAATCTGTCGAAAATTATTTACAGATTTTTATCTGTCAATCGTATATAGGTCAACGTCAATATTCAAACGTTCTATATCCTCGCATGTATCTGACTCACGTCGCCAATGGAGCACGCATATCCTCGCTGACCCGAGCATACATGAGAGCCGTGAGTCCGGCACGTCGATCGCCCTCGAAGCCCAGGAAATGAATGAGTTTTAACAAAGAAGGTGGCAAGAGACTCACGCAAAGCTGATAAATCCCATAGCCGAAGCTCACGGCCGACATCAATCGGGCCACTTCGGTCGGTTCGACGAAGCTGAAGAGAGGGAATGTAATTCGATCGTTCGTTACATTTTCTTTTTTTCTCTTTTTTAACTACATTTTCCCTACAATCGCTTCTTCCTTGTAGAGTAGATAGTATTCGTGATTGTCGTAAAGAAAAAGAAATACTCAAAAAAAAAAGAAAAAAAAAAAAAAATGGAAAAAAAATGGAAAAACGTGTTCTACGAAAATGAAAAATAAGAGTAAGATTGGATATAAAATATGAAATGAAAAAATTGATCGTAGAGTAAAAAGCGAAAGTGTCGAGCGAGAAGTAAGTACGATCGGGTGTGGTGTGGAAAAAAGAAAAAGAAGGATAAATTTTGTAAGAAGAAACAACAATTACGGTGTCTGTTGTTCGGACGTGATGCCAGTGATCGAGAAGAACATTGATAGGGAGCTTCGCAGACCTGATGGCGAGGTGATAGGCGTTGAGTTGCCGGACGAACCGTTGTAGGACGGAATCGACCATTCCGAGGACCCTGGACTATGTGGACTTTGGAGAGAATAACAAGAACCATTGCTCCCTGGCACGCTACAGTTCACCTCGAAATCTGAGAAAAACGATATTTCAGACGATTGAAAGCGATCGGTTACTACTTATCGAAAAAACCGAACAGTTCATATTTGACCTTTTCCAAAGCATTAATAAGTAACGACGATAAGCCTGGAAATGGGCCAAAATCGATCTGATTCCGTTATGCGAGTTCCCTCGATTCAAGGCTCATAAATTAGTTTGAAAATATTTCGCATACCTGATGGCACGTTGCCGAATGTACGCCTATAAAGCTGCAATATTTGCATGTGCGCGTGCTGATAAACGCGCCAAGCTTTACGCAGCATCCAACCGCCACGAACGTAACCGGTGAGCTCTTGTTGGAGGAGAGTTAATATCGCTGAGCAAACTTGCGAATCCGCTAATACTATCTGCCTCTCCAGCTTGTTGACGTATTCCTTCTAACGATACCGATTTATATTCAATAGTACAAGGACGATTAACAAAATCATATCTCTTTTATTTTTTAATACTTACGGAGCTCTCTTCTGCCCTAAATACCCTGTTCTTCATTGATTTCAGCCAGCCAATGTCGTTGGCACATTCCCTTTCCATGTCTCTCAACAATAGCATGGCTTGTTGAAGTTTATCATCCTCGAAGCTCATCAATGCGTTCTGCAAATGAAATCAGTGCATTCTCCTCGTCGAACGTGACTTTAAACGACACGCTCTCGAAACCGTCGAGCTGCTGACCCACTTAAGACTCACTTCTACTGGTTCTTTGACACGCCAATTTCAATTATTAATCAAAGTTATGAAACTATTATTTTCCTTTAGAAAAAGATCGCAGGCGAGTCTACGTCCGTGTTATTTGAGATAACATAATATAATAAAAAAACAAAAAAAAAGAAAAAAAAAAAACCGAGCACCGGGTATGTACGGAAGTGCATACGCGCATATATATATATATATATATATATATATATATATACATATATATGGACGAACCGAACAATAGATGAAGCACCGCGTGCATTTCCTGTCTCTCAGCTAGGCTTAGTTAATATAATAAAGCTTTCATCCGTTTATACGATAAACTTTCGAACGATCAATCGCGAATAAGCTTCTCGAGTACTAACCGAGCCAACCAAGGACTTTGACGAATATTTGAATATATAATAAAGATAAAAATAAGTAAAAGATATCCTATATTCAGAGCTAATTACGTACCATGAAAAGAACGAAGCAACGACCGGCTTTAACGTGGAAACTATGAGGATGTCCGGTGAAAAGTGCTTCGGCTTCCTCCGTTTTGTTGTTCAACAACAAGGATATTCCAGTTCTAGCGATGTTCCATTCCGTTGTTGTTGATCCTATGTTCTTTTTCGATGCCATCCTATCTCCCTTTCTTTCTTTTCCTCGTAAGAAAAAGACGAGAAAAGAGCAGCCCTTATCTACGCTTGCATTCGATCATCAGCCAACGTGATCTTTCTTTTCTGACGTCAAGCACGTGTTCATCGTTCGTGCGAAACATTCCACTATATATTCGATCGAATATAAGAAGGAATATGTTTTCGTAAAAATCTAGGTGATATGGTCTGGTCGTACTCGCGAATTATACGTGGGTTGCGTTTTCACTGTGCGAAAATGAGAATGAAATATATAGAATCTGAGCGGTACTTCCTTACGTTTACGACTCGTTACGCTCGTCCGTATAAGTATTACACGAGTGTACTCGAGGATAAGTATTCGGTTGCAGTTTAAAGATATGCAAAGTCAAGGTGCCAGAAAAAAGTGTGTCTTCTCTCGATAAGATAAGCTTGATAAATCGTCGTAGATTCGTTCACCGACTTGCCCGATATTTCTTTTTAGAGTAGTTTCCTTTGGAGCTGATAAAATTCTGCTAAATTTTTTTCTACTCGCCGAGTTGTGACAAGTGATAAAAAAAAAAACCAAATATTCTCACCTGTTCGTCTTCCGTTAATCGTATGTTTTTTTTTCTTTTTTCACCAAAGACGGCTTTAATAATCGAGTCGTTGAAAGAGCCGAGCCGACGTCGTTAAACCTCTCGTACACCGAACGTCGATCGAGAGACGATCGAGAGTTATTTCGATCGTTCCGATGGACCAGCTAACAGAAATCAGAAGAAAGAACGGTCAATTTTTTTTATAGGGCGCGAGGACGACTCGATCTCGCCGTGGCGCGATGGATAAACTAAACTCTACGAGCGCAGAACTGCTGCCACCACCTTCTTCAGAATTCATATATAGGTGTTTATTGATTTTATCCTAGAAATACTGTGACCTTGACAACACACCAACACGACACGTTTTGATATTAGTATCGTTGAATATATAATTCAGAATTTTTTATATTCTTTAAATGCAACATGTAAAAACTTTATGAATAGTTTAAATAGAGTGATCGATGATGCATTCGCGTTACTACTCGGAACGTAGTTACGGAAAGGAAACGAAATCAAATTCGTTGATTATTGGAGTTCGACGAAACGAAAGGATACTGTAGCTTTCGAAGAATTCTAATTTATTCGCTGTATTATCGTACCGCGACAGAAAACTTCAAAGTTATTATCTCTTGCAACGAGAGAATATTCATGATCTAATAAATTAATAATTTAACGTATCACGATCGTTGGGTCACACTACCATCGGTCGGAGAAAATAAGCGTTGATTGATCGTAAAGTGTAAGCTTAAAAATCTCTCAAATTCGACGAGCATTTATATTTTCATAATGTCATTAACGTTTGCCCGAAAAAAAATAATATCGCTTATTACGAATCGCGGCGAATGACGAAAATTTTTCAATGCATATGTATGTATGTGCGTGTGTGTGTGTGTGTGCGCGCGCACACACACATAAATACTTATGCAAATATTTACAATATTCTTTAATTACATGTTAATAGATTTGTACGTAAGACAATCATCTCAAATCGACCATTATTAATCTATAGAAATGAAAACATAAGTGGTACCTCTGGCCACGCGGTAGGACAATGCTCGAGTATTGTTACAAGTAGAATAGTTTTCTTTTCCTGTATCAGTATAAAATGATTCCCTAAAGAATTTTTACACTTATTTACAATTTGTCCTATTAATAATAATAAACTACGACCATAGGAATCGTCATATAAATTCGAATCCTTCGAATTTCTTATCCATTACTTTCGTTTCCGGCATTATAATGGTACCGTCTATAGAGAATGCCATAATATACGTTGCCGTTTTCCCCTGATATTCTTCCGTTTTTAACGCTACTACGACCGTGTCCTCGGATCCCGGTAGGAACTTGAAACTCGAGAAGCCTCTAACAGGAATTAGTTCACCGATTTCTTTAACCTATAAATTAGATTTATCCTTTAAATGAGTGCATTAAAACTAAACGATTAAAATTGATCTAAATATCATTTAATATTGACCTTAATATCTACAAAATTTTCATCAGCAGTTAGGAGAACGTTACAGCTCATTGTCTCATCCTTGGTTTCATTGTAGCGTTCTTTGGAACATCTCCTTGGTAGAAAGAACCAACTTTTATGTATATCACTCCATGCACCTGATTCATGTATCATATAACCTATCAAAAGAATAACCTTTAACAATTATTTTCATGGTTTTACATTATGACCAATAAGCATACCTGGATACTCAATATTAATCGCTTGCCTCAGTCTCTTGTAATTTGAAATCCAATTTATGGAGTGAATTTCTCCTTTAGGGGAAACTACTTTGATCCACTGGGGATTATTGTGTTCATATTCACCCGAAGGAGTGGTCCATTCCTTTCCCATACTCCCTACGTACAATTGTTCATCCTTAACCGTTGCCCATTCTGACTTGAAGCCTATAAAGGGTAGAGAATGAAGAAACTTATACAATCCATTCGGTATATATTTTCCATGAAATATCTTACCTTTTGGATTTTTTCCATTGCCGTCCAATAAGATGACCCAAGGGTAGGCCTGATTATCTTCTATATGATATATCATCCCAGTTCGGTCGTCGAAGGTTAACAGATGGCCATCGAAGGTGATCAATTCCGATAATTCCATACCTCTAGATTTCATAGCCAAGGACGAAGACAAAACAAGAGTCCTGTCGTCCCAGAGAATCGAAAGAAAATTTGTAGATGGATTCCAGAAGAGACTACCCGTCTTCATAAGACTATACCAAGTATCCTTTTTATCTAAGGCTTTGGAGTCGTGATCTAAATCGCTGACTATAGCTATTCTGTAGGTGATACCTTTGGACGTCCTGATAGGCGATGTGGCTGGATAAGTTTTATTGTATCTATAATAGCGACATTGGGACAAAGGTTGTTGATGGGTGGCGGGCGTGCAAATGACGTTTCGGAAAAAGGGATAGATCAAGAGGAAGAGCGGGACGCACAATAAAACGCATATCATGGCTAAAAATTGTCTTTGAATGTAAAAAGTACTATTCGCCACTCGATAAACGTGAGGAACGCGCAAAGCTTGTCTCCAATCGCGCAAATACGACATCGTTTCTCTATTTCCGTTCTTCATTCGCGATCTTTTCATACACCAAGTTAAAGGAAAAAGTCTAAAAAAGTGAAGAGCTCAAGTGCACGCCCGCCCGTACATATTGGACAGAGAGAAACATAACCTAACAAAGTTAACCTTCTTAAAAAAGCCATCTATCTACATAGCGAACGTGGAACGTAACGTGGCGCCGTTCTATAGATAACCAATTTTTGACAGCTGACATTTGACGCAACTGTGTCAACTGCGCCTCCCACAATTCAATATCTCGACGAGATAACAAAAGTATGTTGGAAATAAAATATGACATTTTAACCTTATACAGCACACGTCGTACACGTACGTTCAACGTAAATTATTAACCTAATTAGAAGTCTCTTATGTATCGCTAATAATCGATCGAGTATTTATCGTAACGAGTATCGAAAATGTTAATGCGAATTGTCGTCGTCGTCGTCGTCGACCTTAAAGTCGACTTTAAAATTGACGAATAGAAAGGAAGATATAAAGATAAAGGGAAAGAGAAGGCGAAGGGAAAAAGCAGAATGTGGCTCCGTCGATAAACACGAGGGAATAGCCTCGACGAGCTCGAGTTGAGAGAACGCTTTCGTGGGAGGGTGAAGCGAATTCCGGGCGGGGTAGGGGGCACGTTGTTAGGGGGTGGCGTTGTTGGTGGAGGGTTGAAAGAGGGGACGGCGAGGGGGTCAGCGGACGAGGGCGGCAAAGGTTTCCTCGTCGTCGTCGTCAGTCGCGTCACGCGTTTTCCATTGACGACGTCGTTATAATACTATCGGGGACTTTAAAAAGATTCGAACGTTGTTTCCTCGGTGTTCGCTCTTTTACTTTTCACTCGTCACACCATCGCACATCGTTTGAGCTTTGATCGTTGCGCTGTCGTCTAGTAAAAATATATATTAGACGCGAGGAAAGAAAGAAGGCGCACGTGACGCTTAGCCGTGATCGGTCGAGCACGCCGCGGTAAAACGCGTCTTCTCTTATCGATCGAAATGTGCCGCGCAGCAGCACGTTGCCGCAGTTCCGCATGCATGGCGCCTTCCACCTCCACCCTCGCGATTTTCTATGCTATCGCCAGCGAAAACACGAGGATCTAACGATGAGTTATAAATTCTTTCGAACGCCCCAGTCGATCGTACCTGGCTTTGAAAAGTCCCTTTTTATATGAAAAAGATATCATATTACAATTCGAATAACGGTTCGTCATCGTTTCACAAATTTTTTCTTACGTGTTATTATCACCCCTCGAGCTCTTTTAGGGAAATTATACACTCGCGTTTTTTTTCTTTTCTTTTTTTTTTTCTTTTTTTTTTTCCGTATAAATCCGACCGAATCATTCAAGCGGCAATCGATTCAACGTTCGCGATTCAAAGGTCGACGACTTTCGTTTAGGAATTACGGATGGCCAATGGGAATCGCGCTTTCTCCCGCCAAAACCGTGCCGCGTCGAGAATACAATTCTCGTTTCGCGAGCAAGGTTGCGCGCGCGTCTACGTGCGGCGCTTCAAGATTCTTTCGTTGTAAGGAGGTTAATCGAACGAAAAAAAAAAAAGAAATAAGATCGAGCTCCGTTATTCCGAGATCATGTCGTCGATACGATTAACTTTCGTCCATGCTACCGGTTGCATTTCTCCTACAAAGGAAAAGTCCTCGTAACAGGTGAGCAAGATCATTTCATTCTTCAAACGTTATTCAAAAATCCTACAAAATGCGACACAACTCGACGAAACTATCACTGAACTAAGATACCTCTAGTATTATTATATTAACCTTGATCGACAGAAAGATCAGCGGAAAATCCGACGTTTCTTACGTATGCATCTGCATGTTTCCCGTACAATGCGTTTCCGTCCTATTATTATGTTGCAACCTATGCGTTTCCGTCCTATTGTGGTACGTGCTAATTAACGAGAAAGTTCGTCTAATCGACGCGATCATTTGTTGCTCTCATTTGTTTCTTTAAAAGACGAATTGCGTCGTAAAGCGATCGTCTCATTTTTTTTCTTTTTTCCTACAAATCAAAACAGATATCGTAAATCTCCCGTGATGTTTCCCGTACGAGTTTAGGGCGCGTGCGACGCATCCTCGGATAACGCTCCAGTGCACCGTAGCCTCGTTTTCTCTATCTCGTTCGGTCTGTTGCGCGCGCGCGTGTCACGGTTACGGAAGGTTCGCCGTCTTCTTACATATACGCGCGTACGCGTATCTAATATCTCGAGTAGATACAAACTCGGAGGAGAAGGTTTCGTCCATGAAGAAAAAAAGGCGGTTCACGAGCCGTAACATAACGCCTCATACTAGTAGGGTGGCTCGACGTAAGTAGATACAGGCGAGGGTGTTAGACGAAGCACCTTCCGTAACGATACCTGTCCAACGTTGAACGTTCTTCAAGGTCAACGACCTTAAGACATCTCGGGTGAACGTCCTCTAGATTTTCTTACGTCTCCCCTTAGACCTTTTCTTCGTGAGAGGATAAACAAACAAAATGAGGAATATACGTAAGTATATGGTTGGACCACGTAGAAACGATCTTATCATTTTGTCAGATTATAATACTCTCCAGTTGACTGCTCTAGTCTATGCGAGCTAACAACGCGGTCGATCCATGTACGTAGATTAAACGTATATGGGAGCAAATAGGAGGAAAGTAGACAAAGTCGAAGTAGTGCGAAGAAGAGAAAAAAGAGGGAGAGACGCGGGTGAAACCACCGGTGGGGTGGAAACGACTATGACGACGTCGAGTCGAGTCGAGTCGTGTCGACGTCGAGGGGTGAGTCTCCTCTGTGGGTCCGCAATGACGTTGCACCGAAATGAAGGGTGCCGAGCGAACGAAAGAAGCAAAGAAAATGGCGCGAAGAGGGGAGACTACTGCGGGATTTAGGAGACTGCGCCGAATGCATTGCGTGTTAAGGCTTTTGTAGTTTATCCTCCCTTGAACGATTTTATATCCCTTCTTTTCTGCGGGATCGCTTCGATCGTAGAATCCATTTCTTAGTCAGGGTGTTGAGCGTATTTTCTGAAAAAAAATTATATCGATCTGTTTACCCGAAACGATTAAACGAGGAGAGAAAGGTTGAATTTGAAGGGTCTCTCTCTCTCTCTCTCTCTCTCTCTCTCTCTCTCTTTTGTGCCGATACGATTTAAAGTTTTAAGAAAAGTTACTCGACATGCGAAGACAGATAGTACGCTTTTATCAGTGTCGTCCTTTGATCGTCAACGTAATCCTCGTATTTTATCGGACGACATATCTGGCGATTTGGCAAAAAGGACAGATAGGCAGACAGAGAGAGGGAGAGAGCGAGGGAGAGAGAGGTGGGTAAATAGGCGACGTATCTCGTTCCTTCCCAGACGAGCAGAGTCGATGCATCGCCATGGAAACGGCGCCATCGCACTTACTAGTATAACGCGATGTGCACCCTAGTGTATACTAGTAAGTACTTAGTTTGTTTCAAGGGTATTGCTCTAACCAGCCCTAAGAAGAGGACGCGATCGATCGATAGATATTATCGCGTGAATTGGACATGAGATGGTCGAAGAAACGACCAATTTCTTTCGTTAGCCGGGACTCCTTTTACCCTTGTTTCGTTTGTTCCTTTCGTTCGTTTGTTTTTCTTCTTATCGAGTATTCTCCAAAGAGTAGAGCGTTCTTGCGTAACGTTTCAGAAAAGAGACGGAAGAGGGAGGAATGAGGAGATTCGTCCGGTGACGTTGTGCCACGCGCGGTAATGCTACTGGCAAGCGGTGCCTCGATACCGACCATCGCCGGTGCCGTCGAGGAAGAGGAGGAGTATGCGCGTAGCGAGGCTAACAGCGCGCACTACGATGGATACGTCACCGATTATACCGATCTCGCTTCGGAGATCGATATCGACGAGTCCGAGTATAGGAGGGAACTTCTCAACGACGTAAGCACGACACTAAGCTTTTCTTCTTCTTCTTCTTCTTCTTCTTCTTTACCCTCGTCGTCGTTGTTATTATTATTATAGGTATTCGCAAACTTACCTTTTATATCATTTGATCGATTTACGCGGTCTCTTAGAACTTCGCGATGTATTTTCTTGATCGTGAAAGAACGAGCCCTGACCCATATAAACTGTACTGGAAAATATTCCTACTTCCTATGCAAAAAGAGGGAAGAAGAGAGAAGCAAGGTGGGAGTATAAATCCTTCGTTCTTGCATTTTGGCACGTATTCGAGAGTTTGGAATCTCGAAGAAAAAAGGAAAAAAAGGGAGAAAAAAAGAAAAATGTTTACGACAGGTGTCTCCCCAGCCAATTTTTCAGAATCCAGAATGGGATAACTTGGCTTTCTTCTTCCGTGTACGAGCATCAGAACGAACGACCGGATTATCGTTTTTCAAAGGCGGATTTCCTTTCAATGAACATTTTTAGGTATAGATACCTCGATAGAAAGGAAACCTACCTTCGTACCTTTCGCCTTAACATTCCGTTCAAGACGATTCTCACAGAATGCTCTAGATGCTTTACATTGCTTATATTTGTGTTCGTAAATGTTTTTATCGGTTTTTATCTTCTTTTTTCTTTTTCTTTTTTTTCTTTTTTCTTTTCAGAAATGGCGGATGCTGTTCGACAAGGTACGACGTTAGACAGGTTGATTTCTCTAAAGACAAATCTCTGAATAGAAAGAAAAAGAATTAAATGTGCTATGCTCTTGCAATTAGTTCGATCCCGAGGGTTTCGGAGAGATACCATTGGAGGACTTTCTGGTAGCGTTAAAAAGTGCCGAATGGAAAGCGGAAATACCAGCGAACAAGAGAGATATCCTGTTAGCGAGGGCAAAAGAATCGAAGGTCGACGCGATTACCTTCCAGGACTTTGTCAATGTGGTGAGTATTCCTTTCTTTCTTCTTTTTTTTCTTTTCCCTCTTTTTCTAACATCAAACATCATTTTTTTTTTTTCTTTAGTTGTAATTCGTAGATCGCAAAATTTATGACGGTAACGATTTATAGAAAAATAATGTTGACAAAAGTTAAATCGCGACTAACGAATAAGTCGAGGAATGATAAATGTTGAAAACTACGATATACAATTATTCGATTTTACTCTGGAAAGTTGGTAGATAGCGATGAATTATCTCAAGAGCAATGGCATTGTCGCGGCACAGACAGTGCTGCTGCCTGCTCGACCGTTCGAGAAAGTTATTTCGGGACTCTGCTGGCACAGTACTCTCTGACTGACCGAAGCTAAATCCTTCCTTATCGATGTCTCCCGATATTCGTATCGTATTGTAAACGTTACCGTAATCGCCCACTGTATCATTCGACGATGGGCTCTTATGAATAAGACTTGATAAAAATTATTTTCCAAAGGAACGACGGATCATCGAAATATCCTTTATGATCGGCGAAACATCGAAATGTTTTCAAATGAAATAAGAAGCATCATCATCAGGGTATAGAGATCAACGCGACTGGTTTGATCACGATTGATTCACGAGTTAACGATTAAGATCAGCGTTTAACGACGGGGTATCATTATTCTTGGCATATCGAGAACATTTGGCCAAAAAGATCTAGGAACGAAGTAAGTCGTCGAAAAGGGGAAACCGCCGATTTTGTAAAAAGGACCGATCGAAGTGGCCTAGTACTAGGTTAAATGGACCGACTGTAACGTCGGTTGCCTCCGGAGTTTTCCTTTGTTCGCCTATTTGTCAACTAGGAAAGTACCAGTGTTAGTGGGGCTAAAGAGGAGCGAGGTGGAGGGTATTCGCCGTCTAAGAAGCCACGACAATGGTTTTTCGAAAACGAGGGCAGAAACTCAAAGATAAATATCGAGAAAATGATAATCTTGTCGTTTGGAAGTGCAATGCGGCGACGGGAGGAGAGGACCTATTGTCCGAGCTCAAAACTAGCTGACAAGTTTTTCTTATTTTCCTTAGCTCTCCTCGTTGCCCATAGAATTTCTCCTAGTTGAACGGAAACGACGTTTGAGTGGCGGAAAATCGAGAAACGATCCGCAATCGCGAGTTAAACGAAGCGCGAAGAAAGGGAAAGGGAGACCCTTCCGATGACGTTTCGCTTAATTGACGATGCAAGAGCGGCTAGTTGGTTTACCTTCCGCATTATATTCTCGCGAAGGAGAGAAAGAGGGAGACGTTCTTTTTCAATGAAATCCAATCGCTCCGCTTAGTCGTGCGCTTACGTCCAACATTAGTTGTGTTGGCTGCTAAGAGAAATGTAATTCGGTTTAGCGATATTTCGGGAACGCTAACATATCGTCGGAAATTCTCGAAATACCTGTTAGATCCTTCCTCGGACTTCTTTCCCGTGTCTCCTTCTCCCATTCTTCCTTCTGGAGATGGAGAACCCAACTTGTCAAAGGCTGATCCGTTTATCTGTTTTCCTCGGGCCGCTCGGTTTTACCGGGTAAAAGATGAAATCCACTTGGAGATTATCGTCGAATCTCTGACGGCTTTGCAAATGCTTCGAACCAAAGGGGAAAGACGTAGAAGTAGTAGAGAAGAAGAAGAAACCGTTGAAATCCTTTTCCAAAAGCAAACACGATCTTCTTACGTTGGACGAAAGAGTATATATACTGTACCTTCGCGTTTCGATTTCGCGTTTGCTACCTTTTCCATTCGTCCTTCCTTATTCGATCGAATGGCCTCGTGGTAAGGCGCGTAACCACGAGAAACAAGAAAGTTTCTACGAGCTACTCAAAGCTCATCATTTATTCTTACGGATTTCTCTCACGGATAATTGCTATCTGCCCCGGTCCCGTGATTCCTCGGCCTAATTTCGTCCTACTTCAAACTTTTCCTCCGTTATTACGGCTCGCGATCGATATCTCGTTGAACGATTGAAATTACCCTACCGTGATTCACTTCGATGCTCTTGTCGGCAAAGTATGAAAAAGACAAAAGAAACGATCGATGAAAATAACGTCGAATAAACGTTATGAACGTATCACGCGGATAGAAAAATCGTATCACCTTTCGATTTTTTCTTTTCGCGATAATTACTTCCTCGTTCGCAGATCGACCATACAAAGGATAGATATTTCTTTCTTTTTGGTCTTTCGACGGTGTTACCGGCTCGTTGAAAATTTTCATCTATTACCGCGCGCGCGAGCCAGCGTTCAATAATTGGATTAACGCCGCAGGTGGTTGAAGGTAGATGCAATTATTCAAGAGAAACTAGAGAGAGAGAGAGAGAGAGAGGAATTGCAATCGCGCGTTCTCTCTAACTGTAGCATGATTTACGGGCGAACGAGGGTAACCTGGATTTCCTCGTAGCCGCGATTCGTAGCACCTTACACCCTTCTGCATACTTATTATCTCGTCGCGATAGCGAATAAAACGGTAATCTCGTTTATCACGCTTCCTACGTCGTACCTGCCCACTTTTGACTCCGTTTAAGTCATCAGAATTGAACGATGGATTATGACTTACGCATGTTACAAATGGAATGCCAACGGTATTCTGGTAAAGCTAGTTGAAGAAGATAGATCGTTCGATATCCGAAATAGAAAGGTTCTTGCGAGGTGAAGGCCCTTTTCAAGAAAAATCTCTCTGTTAATTTTTAACGAGCGAAAAAGGCGGAGAGATCTAGAAAGAGATATATGAACGGTGTGTGTGGGAGATCGAAAGGAAGGAGAGTGGCGAAGGTTCCTTCGGCGCATCGTACACGACGATTAGCAATTAGCACGGGTCCAAAGGGATGGAGGGGGTGTGGTCAGTCCGTGATGTTTGCACAGGCCGCGGAAGCTGAGGATTAGAGGGAAGGAGACGTTAAAGAGGAAGGAAGGAAGGAAGGAAGGAAGGAATCGACCGCGTGCACGTTGCCCTGGCGCTTAGCTGGTCATCTTTCTCTCTCTCCCTCCTTCACTCTCTCTCTCTCTCTCTCTCTCTCTCTCGTTTCGTCGGCATTCAAGAAATAAAGCCAGCCAGGCGATTCTCGCGCGCGATCGCGGTGGTCCACGGGCCGATCCTTTTTTCTTCTCGCTTCTCTCTCACTCTCTCTCTCTCTCTCTCTCTCTCTCTCTCTCTCTCTCCTCGATACCGTTAAAGGTCATTTTTCCTCTCCGTCTCTCTCGCTTTTGGACCACCTTTGTAGTCCGTTCTCTCCTCTATGTTCCTTCCCCAGATATCAATTATGTCTCCGTGGGCCGCACGTAGGACCCACCGGCGTGTGTCTCACCTCCACGAAAAGGGACTGAGCGAATGAGAGAGTAATAGAGAGTGAGAGAGATGGGGGCGGTTAGGAGGAGGAGGGGGAGGGTAGGGGCGGGGGACGAGAGTGCCTCGTTATCCCTCGCCGTGGGCGTCGAAATCTCTGTGTAAGGTCTCTCAGGAGCTACAAAGTGCAATTTAAGGAAATTCTCTCTTTTCTCTCTCTTTCTCTCATTCTATCTTTCTTCTGGCACTTCTCGTTACTACCTTCCCTCGTTTCTTCCTCTTGTTCCTTCGCGCCAACGATAAATCCCATTCCCCCTTTGCCTAGTCGTCGACGGATCCATTCGCTTTGCACTCTTGTCTTTGTGTGTGTGTGTGTGTAGACCACTTTTATGCTCTCCAACTCTTTATCTCTTTTTCGAGTAGAGAAACATAACTTTCCAGTAGCAAAAGATACGATTCGAAAAATTGTATGATTATATTTTAAAAGTAATTTCACACGATTCGAACGTTCTCGAGAGTGATCAAACTTTGTTTCATTTCTGTTTCATCCTTTGCTTTTTTCCTCCTTCGAAAAGGCTCGCGTTATATCGGCATTATGATACTTGAGGAAAGATAGATCGTTCATATTTTAACAGAAACAAAAGTTCGTCGGAACGAATCGAGAAATTGTAAGAAATTAAATAAAATTTCGATACTCGACGATTTAGCCGAGTGGTTGCTTCGTGAAACCAAGTTTTTTTCTCTCAAACTTTTCTCCTCTCTATTTAGCAAAAGGTAGAAAAGGAGTTGCCGCTCTAAGCCTATTATGCGTGACTCATAATATTCTATATCCAAAAGTCTGGACCGAATTAACGTTAAGCAACAAGCGACAAGCGGGCGTGCACACGTGTGTCGTGCGTGAGATCGAGCGCGAAAGGTCCTGGACTGGAACAAGCAAAAGGGCGTCACACTGGCGGCGAATGCAACACCAACGACAGTCAGGATCCCTCGAGGACGAAACAACGCGGCATCCACACCCACATCGGTACCTTAAATCTCCATTCCAAAGCGACCATCCTCGTCTTTGCTCTTGTATCTTTCATCGATGTAGGCTGGAGCCGGGGTGGGGAGGGGGGGGGGGTTGGGGTAGTATCGGTAAATGAGCAATTCATTTTATGCGGAATATTTATGATACTTGGCTCCTTAATACTGGAGTTTAAAGAAAGTCAAAAAGAAAAAAAAAAGAAAAAAAAAGAAAAAAAGAAAGAAAGAAAAAGGAAAAACGGTATAAATTAACAAACATTCGATATTAGTTCGAAAGATTGTCGTTGAATTTTTACAAGTCGATAGAGAGTCTATTATTAGTCATCGACGATCCATCATCCGGACGATTTCCGTCACGAACGGGAACAGAGATTTATTTCTATGGGAGTAAACGATCGTCCGTCAAAATCCCTGTCAATTTTCGTAAATCGCCGTGGTTTGGATAACTCGTCGGGAAGGGGAAAAGGGACAGGATTAACCTATTAAGGCTAATTTGGTCTAAGCGACCCATTGAAAGCGTTTCTAAATACGTAGGCTTATCGGGTCGCATCGTTCGCCTTCTTTCGGTCGATGATTCCTTAAACGTCTCTCTTGCCAGGTCGAATGCTACCGAGAGATTCTACGGATAAGTTAAGAATTGGTGTCGAAGTAAGGCAGTTTTCATTCCTTGTCAAAGTTATCGCACT